AGCCAGCTATAGGTGGGAACCCTCCCTGAACGGAACTGGTACCCTGAGTTGAACTCAGAGGCTTATACTTCCTGGCTTGGCTGGGAACAGAGCACAAGTGAAATTGTTGGGACCAGAGTTTTGCTCAGATTTTAGGGGCTCTCAAGCACTGCTGGGAACATGACCCAGAGGTGGAAATTGTGGGGACCAAATAGGGCTGTAGACCTCTCTAGTTGTGTATTCCTTGAGACAGACTGGAGAGCACACCCTGGGTGTTTCTGAGTCAGTTTCAGGGCTCCTACGGAGCACCACAGTCTTGAAAGTTGCAATGATTGTTCAGGATTCTGGCTTCCTCCGGACGTACTCAAGTGGAGAGTGATGTTTCCTATGCCAGCCTCACACCACCAATTAACTACCTGGTGTTTTTCCTCCTGAAGATTTCTCTGGATGAGTCATTTTTTTTGCTCGCTCGATGAAAGATTTCCACAACCAATTCTTGTTTCCATGAAAAGCAGAGGGAGGACTCATTCGACTCATTCGTATCATAGATCCAAGTCACCACCCTATTGAATGTTCCAATCCTTAATCTAACCAGAACTTCTGCTTTCTGCCTTAGGACCACCACTCTCTCAGGGCCTCCTTACCTAATTTCCATCCCAACACTAGCATTTGGTGTTATTTTCAGGGCCACTTTTCACAAAGTTGTTGGGTCTGTGTTCTGTTTTTCTTACCATGTAAGAATGACCAAATTCACAGGAATAACAAGAGAACATCAGAGTCCCGATCGATATGCAGATACTGGGCCCTCTTACAGGGTCTGCAGAAATGTTCAGTGGCTGCTCACCCTGGCACCCCTACCACGGGATGGATGCAATTCCAGCTGGTACCTCCTCAAAATGACTCATCATGCTCATGCCACATGAGAGCCTTACCCGGTTGAAGCCACTGTCATTCAGTCCTCAGATGCAGAGTCCCCTTTTCTGTCAGCTACTCCCACCACTGGCATGACCTGCCCAGTTAGGTATAAAGTTACCCATGGCAGACGAGTTAGAATGCAATAAAATACCTATGCTTAGTTCCAAAAGTATGTGAGTGATAATGGGATTTACTGTGTAATGTCAGAAAGTACTTCAGAATTGGGCAGTGTCTTGGTTTGGGTGTACTCACTGTAATTTCTCTGAGGAGAGGGTGTGGAGGGGATGCAGAAGAGAGGCCCAGGGGGCCTCTGGCTGCCCTTCCATCCCCAGGAAGCCCAGGGCAGGGGATGTGCCACTGTTTTCCTCCCTGATCTGGGAACAGATGTGTGTCATGTCACAGTGGAGAGTGCCACATGGTTTAGGTGTACATTGGCAAAGGCAGAAAGTGAACTTGGCTATTTTCTCCTTCTAATTTCTACGCTAATTGCTGAGGGCCTTTGCAACATTTTTAATATGTTAAGAACCTTTGAACAGCTGGCAGTTCTCAAATAAAATAATGAAAGTGGTGCAAAAGTGCTTTTTTCGTGAGCTAGTTGCTTGATATTGTGCCTGGCCCTAGTAAGTGCTCAGATTCAGCCCCCAGGAAGGCGGGGATGTGACATTCATTCATCAGAGGCAGCATAACATGGAGGTTAAGAGAACAGCCTGCAGAGTTCATATCCCGGCTCTGCTGCTTTCTTACTGTGTGACCTCAAGCACTTAGTGCTCAGTGTCCTCAGCTGTAAAAGTTCTAGTAGTACCTAGCTCATAAGGTCGTTATTAGAATTAAATCAGTTAATATAGAGAACCTACTTAGAACAGTGACTGGCACTTAATTATTGTTGCTGTTAAAACTGTTATCATTAATATCATTTTCAGCAGCAGCCATGTGCGGCTCCCCGCAGGGCTGGCTGCTGATCTCCGTGTCTAGCTGGTGTCCAGGAAATACTCTTGAACTCGAGAGCGAGCCCAGGATTGCTAAGCTAGGGTCCCTGTAGCTGCCAGGTCACTCCCTGCCACATAACCAGCTGTTCTTCAACTTGTACTTTGTGGGCTTTTTCTTCTCTAAGTCTGCCACTGGGCAGCTGTCTCTATCAGGTGTCGTTCTACTTCTAAATATAGCCCAGCCACATTTCTGCCCTATCATCATCTTCACAGGGTGTGTGACTTAGACAGAACAAGAATGGCAGTTGAGAAATCAGCCTTCATCCTAGTCCAATGGATAGTCTTCTGACATTTTATCCTATCTGAAGGTAGAACTCAAAAGACAACTTTGTGGCACATTGCTTCCAGGGCCTGACGCGGGGTAAATTGGGGTTCCTTCCCAGAGCAGGTGCTGAAGGCGAGGTGATCCCTCTGCCTTGCCTCACACTGGCGTTGACCAACTGACAGATCCATTAGCAAAGGAGGGTTCCTGTTAGTGTCCAAGAGGCTGAGCTGGCATCGGCTGTGGGTCTAATTGAATGCTTGGGGAAATTTGATTAAAATGTGAAAAAGATGCTTCCTGGTCATAGAGCTGTAACACTGTCTGGTATTAGACAAGAGACAGGACCAGTTGTCCCTGCTGCTTTAGCCATCTCTGAAGGAACATTTAGAGTCACACTTGGCTAGGAGACTTGACGCATGGTGTGGCTGAAGTTTCAGCTCCCTCTCATGTAGGGTAGATCAGTGCTGAGTCGAGTGCTTGCTCGTTGCCTTTGAGAAGGACATTAAGGGTGACCTAATGCAGTGGCCTTTCTGCGTTGCTGTTAATAGGTTTTTATGTAAGGGAATTGCTGGCCCACAGTTTTCCTGGGAAAATCAGATGGCTGCACTGCCACGTTCACCAGAGACTTCTGAGATTGGTGCCAAGCTTATTAGCATTTGCCAATCTCATAGAAAAACTAAGACCTTATCTAGAATGCTATGTGTTTTTTTCTGAAAAGCGGGCTTCTGATCTGAAGAGCCAGAGCAGGCAGCCCATGTGTGACTCTTTATTGATCCATCATTCTCTGGGCAGCAGTGGCTCAGCCTCTGTCAGCCCCGCTGCCTGAAGCTCACCCCATCCCAGCAGCAGGTTTTCATGTCTGCTTCAGACTGTGTGCTGAAAGCCTGTATATCCCCTAGTGAAGCACAGTTCCAGCTCGGAGAGGCTTCATCACAGCACTGACACGAAAAGACAAACAGAAATCTGACTTGCCATGTTATCCATCCAATAAAAAAACCACCCAGGGGTAGAGGAATAGATATTCATCACGTCCCAGCAACTCAGCCAAGCCTGGGAGTTCAAGTGCAGTATTTCTAGGAGAATTTAGAAAAACCTTTCCTTGGCAAAGCACAGAGTTCTCCTCCTGACAGCTCTTTTCACCAGCAGGCCAGCCTGTCTGGGTTAGAACAAAGGGAATTCTGCCCGTCTGATTTGGGCCGGATAGCGGTTTTCTACTTCCCCAGTGGTTTGTGTACCATCCTGGGAGTTTGAATACTTTTCCTTAAGTTAAGCAGAGCTCCCTCTTCATGCTGCATGGATTTGCCTTTATCTGTAGTCAGGCTTTGGCTGCTGAGGTGACCTTTGCCCTGGTTTAGCATGAGCAGAATAATAGCATTGGCTTGAAAAGAGATTCGGGAGGTGATTATGGGATTATTCAGTAGGCTTGTCACCAGAGAATTTATGTTACAAAGAGCATATAGATTTTTTTTTATTATGGAGTTTCTACTGTAGCAGCTGTGTGCCTGTGTGTATATTACAGCATCTACAATTGCTAAACTTTCAGAGCACTTTTGTTAGTATGTCTTCCTTCCTCCCAGTATCTTATTTTTCCAGAAAGTTCTTGTAGTTAATGAAGGTTCCCTGAAAGGGGTAAGGTTGTGGGCCTTACCTGCAGTATAAAGTTAAAAAGGAATATTTCAAGGAAAGCATGGTTTGGTTTGATTTGAGCAGGTAGGGGAAATCTACTATTTAAAATATGCAGTGGTTCCTCTGCATTTGGAAACTTCAGCTGCCCCTATGTGAGTGGAACATGTGTTTATATTTCTTACTGAAAAACGATGGATGAACTTAGCCAAATTTCTTGGTTTTGCCAAATCGATCTGAGCTGGCAGTGAGTCATAGTGCATAACTTGATGAGTGCCTTGAGGTTACTCTTCTCCATAGTTGTGGCCATTCTAATATTTAAAGGTGAACGTGGTATGATAAAGAATGAGCATTAACATGTGATTTTAAAAAGATACCCATGGAGATAGGAGACGTCGATTCCATCCATTGATGCTTACTTACCAAGCAGTATCATGGCCCAGCACTGACTTAGCTCTAGTTATAGAGTGAACAGGACAGCATGGCTCCTGATTCACAAGGCTGACGGTCCAGAGGGAGAGAAACAATGCAGTTGTCTTCAAATAAGTCTCCTTGATGAGCCAACCTGGCTGATTGTGTTCCTGGAGCAAGACGAGAGGCCGGTCAGCTGTGCCAGGCTCGGCTCAAAAGGTTATGTGGTCTAAGTGGGTCACATGCGCGTGTGTCCTTCCTCATTTTGAAAACCATTTTTCTCACCTCTTGGGATGATATGAAGATGAACACAGTTACAATCCACTTTTGACGTTCTGAGGTAGAATGTTCTGTTTGTTCCTTCTTGATTTGCTTCTTTTCTCACCTTCTTATTCTAGCAAGCACTAGGACTTCCAGCAGAGGATAGGAAGAGACAGGACAGTCAATTCAGACCAACATCATGGGCCTGAGGATACGGGATGCAGCTCAGGATGAAGGTTGTAGGGTACACAAAGCTGACACTGAGAGGGCAGGCGAGTTTGGGGGATGGTGAATTTCATCATCCTCTGGTCCACAAGTCAGGGCTCTCTGAAGTATGTTCATTCCTTTGAGAAAATGCTATATGAATGCACAGTGACAGTAGTAGAAGAAGTAGAATATTTGCTATTTACCGAAAGTGATCAGAATTTCCTGGTGATGTCTCCGTGTTTAGGAAAGTGCGAGTAGATGTGTCAGAGGAGGCAAAGGTGACAGTTTCACATTTGCCTTCAGAGTGCTGATCTTTCGTTTTCTGGAGGCTTTATATAATTTTTTTTTCTTTACAGAATGAAGTTGGCCTACTGGAGTTCTTCCAAAATGTGATGAAAGAAACTAGGGCAGAGCCAAAAAAAGTGACTAGTTGGGTCCTCAACACTCTTCTGGGTTTTTTAAAGCAACAGAACCTTGCTGTCAGTGAGAGGTGAGTGGATCTGGGGATTTCTTTCTTCCTTTATGATGAACTCTGTGCCCAGAAGCAGCTGAAATAGGGCAGGGCCAGTGTTTTGCTCTCCTCGTTCCCCCTCAGGATCTCCTGACAAGACATGAACCTCCCCCATGAGTTCCAAATTCTAAAGCTGGCCTCTGTCACATCTGAAAGGTCATTTATGTGTTCAGATCTCTGACTCTCCGTGCTGTCCTTGGTACTGTGCTTGGGCTGGGGGCCTGAAGATGAATAAGACAAGGGGTTTACAAGCTGCGGGGAATACAGACCTGTGAGAAAACAGTCAGTCCCCTCCGTATGACCCTGTTGTACTTCAGGCATGCGTGCGGTACTGTGAATGCACAAAAAGAAGCCCTGAGCTGAGGCCGAGGAAACCAACTGAGGTTTCCCTCAGAATGAAGGAACTAGATTCCCTCAGAAACCAAGCCCTGAAGAACTGGTGGCAGTTGTCAGGTGGTGGGAGGGGCAGGGGCATTCCAGAGAAAGGAAGCAATCCTGCAACACTCAGGGACAGGCAGGCTCAGGAGGCCCAGAAACTCCAGGGTGCTCAGGCAGGCAGGCAGGCAGGCAAGGTAGGGGGAAAGCTCCCGAGACAGGCACAGGTCACCTGGAGGACTTGGTATGCCTTTGTCAACAGCTCTCGGGAGCCACAGATGACAAGTTCACTCCAGTTTCACTTTGGGGGAGTGGGACGGAAGAACAGACTAGAGGCAGGTAGCCCAACTGGGAACGTCCTACAGGAGTGCCAGTGAGAAACGCTGGGCCTGAGCCGAGGTGGCCATAGCAGGGCTGAAGTGAGGCGGACCAAGGTGAGAGCAGTTCTCTCACACAAGCACAACTTCCAGATTTCCTGCTTGGGCAGTGGAGTAAAATGGAGGGCAGTGCTTTTCAGTGTAGTGGGAGGTAAAGGAAGAAGAACAAATCGAGAGGGCTGGGGTAGGGGAGGAAGCCATGTTCCTTTCCGGACGTGCTGAGTTTGAGCTGCTTGTAGAACAGACATCCCCCTCACAGGGGTGACCGTTACGCAGTCAGATATGCAGATCTACAGCTGACGAGAGGTGTCTGGGAGGTGTGAATCTGAGCGCTCTCATCTGTCCGTTATTCAGCACAGATTTATTTAGACTCTGCTCTGTGCTAAGCCTGGGAAAGACCAGTCAACATGACAGACACAGTCCCTGCTCTCAGAGCTGACAGTCTAGAAGCCGGTGATTCCAAAGCGGTGGGTTAGGTGCTCTGAGAAGGGGAAGGTAACAGCTAAGCTAAGACCTGAGTGAAGGATGAGTAGGGTGAGTCAGACAAAGTCCGAGGGATAAAAGTGTTCCAGGCCTAGGGAACAGCACGTGTAAGAATCTGGAGGTGAGCCTGGGGGTGCCACTTTTGGGAATGCAAGCACACAGCCCAGTGTAAATGTGCATGGACTTAGCAACGTAGAGATGGGACTTGAAGTTGTCAGAGCAGATGAGAACTGTCACCGAGGAGCCAGCGTGATAAGAGGGCTGAGGAAGGAGCCTGAGACGCTCTCGACTTTAAGTGAGAAGCACGGACAGAGAAGGGAGAGGAAAACCAGGAGAATTGGTGACACAGAAGCCGAAGAAAAGGAAAGTTTCAGGAAGGAGAGAATGAGCAGCAGGTTTAAGTGTGGGGAGTGGAGGAGACAGAGTTCATTAGGGACACATAGGCAGGTGACAGGGCCCTGGCAAGGTCTCAGTCTCAGCGGTGTGTCATTGTCTCAGCACCATCCCACGGCCATGGAGAAGTGGGGTGGAGAAGACAGGCACATTCGATATATGATTCCAAAAAGTTGTTAGTTCAAAGAAGTTAACTCTATACAATGCCAGCTTCGTGTTCAGCCTCTTGCTCGCAGTGTGTAAATGCATGTATTAACGTGGCCGTGTGGGCTCAGTTCCCTTCCTTCCTTGTCTGCTTATCAGCAGTGACCTTGGATGGGTTCCCCTCTCTGACTCTCAGATTCTTCACAGTTAAATGCAAGTGACGGTACCTGCCTCCAAGGGTTTTTGAGAGGGAAATGTGCAGTGCCTGGCCCATAGCGGGCCCTCAGCATTGGCTTCCTTCTCTTTGCCATGTTGGTATCTTAAGTACCAAAACAATGGCCACTCTTAGTTTCCTGAACTCCTGTGGCATCTGTTGCCTCTTGGTCTTTCATTCCTGTCCTCTCAGGTTTGACCTCTCTATTCAGAAACTCCATTCTTCACACTGAAAATACTGTGGCCATTCAGTGAAGGCTGGAGCCACCTGGAAGAGTTTATGGAGGAGATACAGCTGTCCCAAAGCCTTAAAGGATGGATAGGATTTGGTGAGGGAGAGGGCTGGACGATGCCTGTGGGGAGCCAAGACGTGGGAATGACTAAGAGTCGGCAGGTTTTTGGACTAGGGAGGAGCACAAGCCAGTAGGAGCAAAGGGAGGAAAACAGCAGAAGAGTACAGTTGACTGTATAATGGGAGCAGAGCTAGAATATGGAGGGTGTGGAAAGTCACAGAGGAATTCAGCTGTGAATCTGGAAAATAGGTGCGAGGACCACTCTGTGCAGTGTGCACGGAGAGATGAACAGGACCCCATCCCAGCCCTCAGGAAGCTCTCAGTCTCCTGGGGAGGACTAGACTTGTGCATCGATATTTTAGTTCAAGGCAGAATGGGTGCTTCCTATTTGAGAACCATACGCAGAGCAGAGAGGAGGGAGATAATGTTAGCCAGAAGAAGCCAGGGAGGCTCCCAGAAGATGCGGTTTGAGCTTTTGGAGGAAATATAAATCTTAGCTTTAAATTTATGGTTTTCCATATTGTTGGCTGTAATTCCTAGGGTCACTGAATTTTAGTCTTGGCAGAGACCTTAGATATCTTCTGGTTCAGCTCTTTCATTTAGCAGAGAGGAAATTGACGCCCTAGGAGGTAAGGTGACGTGCCTCAGGTTGTACACCTGCTAAGACTGGAAGCCACGTCCCCTGACTTTCAGATCAGTTTCTGTATATGTTGAGCTGTGAAATTAGGGCTTTGCTAACCATCATTTTGGTAGCTTCTAGAGGAACTGAGGTTGATAAATTTGCCTGTTGAGTGAACTTGGACCCCAAGTACTTACCCAAACAATTCATAAGCACTAGAGTTTTAAGGTTACTCAGTTCTAAATAAAAGTATACCTGGTTGTCCAAAATCAGGAAAAGAGGAAGCTAAGCAACAGTTCTGTTTTACAATTTATGTAGAGCAAGAACGGAGGAGCCAAAACCACGCTGTAGCAGCTTTCTTCCTCCATAGTTCAAAGAACTTTTAGCTGGACTGGATATAGCAGCCTCACCTTGGAACAAGCATTAATTAATGAGCAACCTCAGCCGCTAGGGCGAACGTTCCCGAAGCTTAGAGCAGCAGTGGCTGCAAAGCTAGCAACAGTCTCATGATGACACCAGGCAAGGAACCCTCTAGAGATCAAGTTGGCAGGAACTAATTTTGCAAATTAGCATTCATCTTTAAAGACCTCTCAGAAGACTGGGGTTTAAAGGGTCCAACCAGAAAAGCTCTTGTTGAATTTGGCTTTGTAATGATTTTGAGTATATTGCTTTGAAAGTTGTTTTTTGTTAATAACTCATTCTACATTACAATTCATAACAGGTTTGATTTAGGTAAGAAAGTGGGAGTTACAGATTCCCTGACCAAGCATTTCATGGTGAAAGCAGGCAGATGCGGGTGTCCAGTTGTCCGATCCAGCTGAGGAGCCCGAACTTCCAGGTCAGCTCTGGCAGCAATTCCTGAGGCCCTCGGAAACCAGGGACGGCCTTTGAGGCCAGAAGGGCCTATGCTGACAGGAAGATTAATCCAGTAGTGTGGTATGTGGGATGGCGTCCAAGAATGGGGCTGCAGGAGTTGGGAGCCTGTTAGAGATCACCGTGTCCACAGTCACACCATGTCAGACATGGAGGTATTGGGACTGCAGAGGAAGGGCTGGCTATCCTTAATGTTTTGAAGGATCCCTCGGATTTGGTAATATGGACTAGATTTATGCAGAGTAAGCAATGAATAAAGCAAAGACAGCATGCCAGTTGGCACCCAGGTGACTAGAAGCCTGATGGTGTCATCTGCTGAGACAGAATCTGTGGGGTAGAAGGGCAGAGGAGCTGGTCTGTGGAGAAGATAAGTTTGGTTTAAAACAAGGGTTGGCAAACTATGGCATGTGGGCCTGCGGCCTGTTTTTATACAGCCTGTGAGCTAAGACCAGTTGTTACCTCTTAAATAAACCACAACAAAGAAGAATATGTGACAGAGGCCACGTGTGGCCCACAGAGCCTTCAATATTTACTATCTGGCGCCTTCTGGAAGTTTGCTGGCCCCTGCTTTATTGCATGTTGTTTGGGTGAGATGAGACCTCTCGAGAGGTAGTTGAATTTAGTGGGAGAGAGAACTGGACCCTGAAGAGGCAGTGACAGTCTTGGGGACAAATGTGCTTTCCTCCTTTCGCAGACTGAGGGAAAGGCAGAGAATCACGGAAAAGAGCACCAAGGCTGCTCGTAGTTACAGGCAGGAAGTAAAAGAAGGACAGTCAGGGAGAAGGAAGAGAATCTGGAGGCCCAAGGAGAAGGGGTCTTCACCAGGGAGTTTAAACATAGCCCGGAAGTCAGGAGGCAGCAAGATCGGGGAAAGCTGTTATGTTTGGCAACAAGTGAGGGAGGTGATCTTTTTAAGAGAACAGCTCTGTAGAGGAATAGCCTTAGAATCCAAATGACGTGCCCTTAAGGGGGTAGATAGTAGCCACTAATGCTAGGTCTTTATTGGTAGAACTGAGGTGAGAAACCAGACAGAAGCAAGTGTCTACATGATCAGTTGAAGGCATTTTTAAGACACAAGATCTGAGCATTTGTGAAGGTGTGAGATTAAGGCCACAGGAGATTGGAAAGAAACGTCTGAGTAAAATTCATAGGAGTGGAAAGAGATGGGATTAAGAGCCTGGGTTGAAGGGTTTGTTTTATGGAAGAGGAGGAGGGGCTCATAGAAAATTCTGAATCTCACATCAGCTGATGTTCTTACGAAGTGGGAGGTGAGGGTTTGTGCCAAGAAGGGGAGTGGGAAGGAGACTGTCTTGAACAGTTGCTTGGGTGGGGGCACCAGGTAGGGGGCGCTAGGAAATTAGTGAAATGAACAAAAGGATTATTGACCAGCAGGAGCCACCTGGATGTCCAAGTCCCAGTGTCTTCCTCCAGGAGCTTCCTGTGTCCCATTTTAACAGAAGCAGAGAAGGTAGACTCTGGGCCTAAGGTGAGCTTGGGGATTGAGATGAGCAGCACATTCCACAAGTATGGGGCAGGGTTGGGGGGAGTGGGGTTGGGTTTGTGGTGGTAGAAATGTTAGGGTGTCTGCTTCTGGAATATAAGCTGGGGATGGAGTTGTGACCCTAAAAGAGCTCTAGGGGACTGGATGAAGTTGGGAGATTTGAAAGATCCCATTTCTCCTCCTCTGTAGATACACTGGCCTTGGAGGGATTGGAGACCAGCACACAAAGCTTAAGCCACTGATGTCAGGTTCTTCATTAGTGGAGACATGTTCACTATCCGGAAACCAGTATCACCTGACAGCAGCAAATTAGTAACTTGTGCTTCTGTCGCCTGTATATTGTCGCCAGATCTGATGGTTTATTTATTTAACTGATGAGTGGAGTCTTTCAGGCTCAGCGGAACAAGTACATATCTTTGTCATCATCTCGCTGGAGGTCAGCCCTGGCATATCTGGAATTTGTATATGCAGTATACCAGCTTTTCCCGTTGGGGGATCAATCCCTTGACATAGATATTATTGACCGAGTGTCAAGCATTATGGGTACAAAAAGGTGACTGAGAAACCCCAAGTGCTGTTAAGTCAGTGGAGATATTTCATAGTGTAAATTTATGACCTAACTAATGAATTAAGGCCATTAGATGGAAAGTGAAATATTTTCAGTTGCCTTGTGTTCTGTTTCCGTCCTTCTCCATCCCCACAGCCCTTATATCATTGACTCAGGGGGAGGAGGGGCCCTCTCATTCGCATGCTCAACCTCAGTGCTTCTTACGGGTTCCACACACAGTCTACACTCTAATTAATCGATTGTGCTTTCTAGGATTGTGGAACATCCGAGAAACCCAAATTTAAAATTAAAAAAAAAAAAAACTGATTCCTTGTTGCTTGTCAGTAAGGGTAGGAGGTTGGAAAAAGGTTTTCAGTGTGTTTCCTACCCTCTAACTCGTCCTCCAGTTGAGATTTAATCACGGTGGTTCCCACATCTTCTGAATACCAACGTAATAACACCAGACCCTCTCCAAACCTAATTTCGACCTGGAGTTACCTTTATCCAGACTTTGGGATAAACAGACACTGTAAGGATGATGGGCAGCCTTTGTGTCAGCTGTTTTAATGAACAGCCCGCAGGAGGTTTCACTCTACTGGAATCAGACCACAGCAAGTCATACCTGGTTAACTTGTGCTCAGTTGCTTTGGAATTCATGGGAATTGGCATGGAGGCTAAGTGGCAGTCTCCTTTTTATTATCTAAGAGCTTACAAAGAAATTAATAGCAAATGATAGCAATCAAGACTTAAACAGAAGGTGTTTTCACCTGGCATCACGCATTCCGGCTTTCATTTATACAGACTCACTGATGTGCTGTTTATAAGTCCTCCCTATCTATTGAAAACAAGTCCCCTAACGACCTCAGACAGACAGCGTTTCGTTAGTCTGGTTGCTGTATATGTTTAGAAATAGCAAAACCATATATTTTAAAAGAAACAGTGTGTAATTCAGTCTTGTCTTTCACTAATCTAGGCGCTCACCCCCCAACCCCCACCCTTGAATGTGAATTCATGACACCTTACGTGTTTGGTTGTCCCTTGGCCTTTTGTTTCGTGGGACCTTGGCAAATATGCCACGTCCTAGAAGTATAACTATAATGAATTCTGGGCCCTTCTGTGTCCAGAAAGCCATTGTGAGCCTGCAGGAGAGACCGGTCTGTGGAGATGTCCATGAGGATGGATAAAGACATGGTTGGTCATTGTGTTCTTTTAAAAAAAATGCTCTTATAATTAAAAGGAATTTATATTTGCACAAAAACTCTCAGAAAAGTGGCTTTGTTAGCTGTTTTCTTTGAAGTAATCTTTAGGCTGATCTTTCAGTTGAAAATATTTAATTACCGGGTTTTTTTCCTTTTCCTCCTCATGGTTCATGAATTTTGCAGCCACCTCCTTTTTTTGACTAATTAAACTGAGCAGTTGTCTGTTGCTACAACTTCTGCCAAACAGCTGTTATTGTTGGGTGGTAAAATAAAGAAAACAACACTAGTCACAAAAATTTGTTGTATGCTAAGATACAAGATAAGTAAATAAAATAGAGCCCAGTTGGCTCATTATTTTATTCCTGGTTGTGGGTTTAATTATTTAAGCCTACAAAATGAAGTGCTTTGATTCTGAATAACCATAAATGGATATGCTGACAGTGTGAAACGTACATTTCTTTTCTCTCCTTGTGGGGGTTGCTAGTCCTGTCACCCCTTCTGCACTGGCCGAGCTGCTCAACCTGCTGGACAGGAAAGCAATTTCTTCATCAGCAGCTAAACAGGTATGTCCACACTTCCTAAAGCTTCTCGCTGCTCTGCTATCTCGATGAATGTTTTATGTGAAATTCAAATGCCAGCATTAAGTGAATTTCATAATTGAAGTATTCAATGCTTGTGGGTGCTATTTTTATACTGAAAGGTAGAAACATTTTATTTAGCAAAGGAAATAAAGCCAGTATGTGCAATGCAGGTAGTTTGCTTCTCATCTACTAGTGTTTGTCTTCGCCTGCAATGTTTCCCAAACATTTGCTTCTGTAAAGGGCTGGGGTCCAGCAGCTTGTGGGGGCTTCAGACTACGTGCACCTTCCCTGTGCCCTGCAAGGCCCACAGTAGGCTGGGCCCTGCTCCCTGGCCCTCTGGTGCTCCCTCACGTCCTCTGCAGCCTCCCAGCCGGTACCAGGGGCTCATCTGTCTTCATCTCGTGGTAGCCCCCTAAAATTCAGTCTCCCAGTGGGAGGGTGAGGTCAGACAGACTGCTTCCTCACACTTAGTAGACAAAATTTTACACACATGCCCAGTGTGTGAAACTCATCATCAGAGGTGGCCTTCTGCCTCATCTCTGCCTCCACCTGACAGTCTTAGGTGGGTGAAGATTCCTAGAATTCAGAAAACTCTACAAAGAAGTACTCAGAAAGATAAAGAACACCAACACAGCTGCCTGATCTCGACTTCAGATATCGCAGTTGTCAATGCCTCAGCCAGAAACTTAATGTTATTTTAATGATGCCTTTTACATTTAATATTTATATGCATTGACAGTAGTGGCAGGTTACAAAGCGAGGCTTTGGAAAAGCGTCTGCTTTTGGCTAATTATGAGGCACCGTGGAGCATACTCCGCTCTGTGCTGTGAAACTGGAGACAAGAACTAATAAAGGCTCTGTTTACCCACCACCCAGTGAGGCTGTCAACCACAGGGACCTCGCCACATTTAGGAAAGGATTTTGGTTGCCTGGATGTCAGAGGAATACAAATGTTTATGACAATGCTCAGCAGTAGCAGAAAGATTAGATGGCCTGAGGGCAGAAAAACATGATATATATATATATATATAAGAGCAGATGAATTGTAGCATTTGAATTGAAAGAGGAAAAAAATCTTCCCCTTCCCACTCATCTTGCCCCACCAAGAACAGGGGGAAAATACCTAGTGCAACAAATATAATAGGTTCAGTGGGAAGAAATAGAAAATGCTAGAAGATACTGACAACTGGGTTCAGATATAGACAGACACTTTTGGATTCTCTCAACTTCCAGTGTGTTTAAAGGAGGTGGGGTGAATCCTGGCTTCTGTGAGGCAGTCAAATAAAAATAAAAGTAAATGTTAAATGTGTGCTGCATAAGGGAATCTGCCTTATATATCATTGCCTTGAGGGGCTGCTTTTTTATTTTTCTACTTTGTTTTCTGTCTTTAAGAAAATCACTTACTGATTTTCTGGTGAAAAAGATGTTATCTATTCATTATAAAGAATTTAAGTAATGCAGAAAAATGTAAAGATTTTTGAATTCTACCACCTTGAAATAACTACCATTAATATTGGGTGAACATCATCCCAGGCATCTTTCCACGCATATGTACCATTAGAAAGATGGATTGGGGCTGGCCCCGTGGCGCAGCGGTTAAGTGCTCACATTCCACTTTGCTGGCCCCGGGGTTCGCGGGTTCGGATCCCGGGTGCAGACATGGCACCGCTTGGCCAGCCATGCTGTGGTAGGCGTCCCACATATAAATTAGAGGAAGATGGGCACGGATGTTAGGGCCAGCCTTCCTCAGCAAAAAGAGGAGGACTGGCAGCAGTTAGCTCAGGGCTAATCTTCCTCAAAAAAAAAAGAAAGAAAGATGGTTTGATGGCATGGGCAGACGTAAGGTTAGAGAAATACAGACTTTTGAAAATAAGAGGTTATGATATATTGTTTTTTAGTTTATGTTTTTATAAAGTGTACAGTTCATTCGTTTTTAGTATATTCACAAAGTTGTACAACCATCACCACTCTGTAATTCCTGGAAAACCAACCCCACATTCATTAGCAGTCACACCCCATTAATCCCTCACCCTAGGCAACCACTAATCTACTTTCTGTCTCTATGGATTTGCCTGTTCTGGACGTTTAATATAAATGAAATCATACAATATGTGGCCTTTTGTGTCTGGCTTCTTTCACTTAACGTGATGTTTTCAAAGGCTATCTATGTTGTAGCATGTCAGTATTTCATTCCTTTTTATGGCTGAAGAATATTCCATTGTCTGTATATACTACTTTTTGTCTATCACTCATGAATAAATGGACATTTGAGTTGTTTCCAATTTGGGGCTATTATGAATAATGCTGCTTTGAACATTTCTGTACAAGTTTTTGTTAAAGCGATGATGTTTTCAGATTTCTTGGGTATATACTTATAGGAATGGAATTTCTGGATCATGTGGTAATTGTATGTTTAACATTTTGAGTAGCTGCTGAACTGTTTTCCAGACTGACTGCATTTTACATTCCCATCAGCAATGTGTGAAGCTTCTAGTTTCTCCACATCCTCGCCGGCTCCTCTTATTGTCCGTCTTTCTGATTGCAGACATCCTAGTAGGAGTAAAGTGATGTCTCACTGTGGGTTTGACTTGCATTTCCCTAATGACTAATTACATTGAGCATTTTGTGTGTCTTATTTTTACAGTGTACTTTTTTAAAAAAGAAAAAATGTGTTACAATTAATTTTTACTGAATTTAACAGAAGACTCCAAGTAGACCTTGGGTTTTAGAAACCCTGTGAGCCAGAGGGTGCTCAGGCAGAGCAGAAAGACTCTCTGCTTCTACTAGTTATTCGCGTTTCCTCTGACAGAACTGGAAGAGGTTCCGTTAGTGATGAGATGACCAGGAGACGAGGAAGAGAGTTCACCAAGAAACTGACTCCTCAGCATGACAACTGTGCAGAAAGAGTCATGCTGTCCTGGGGACATTCTGCATTCTAAAGAATCTCCCACATTATGTCTAATTTATTATTAATCCGTCTCTCTCCACCTGTCTCTCCCTTACGTTATTTTCATCCTTTACACATTTCACTGCACCTTCCTCTGGGTGTTCCAACGTGCTTCTGAGATTTACAGACCTCATCCCTTCAGGACTCCAGGGGCCAGGGGAGTTAAGGGGTTGCTGCCATGAAGCAGCCCTATTTTTCAGAAGTGGAAAGAGAAACTCAAAGATTATTTATCATGATGAGCCACACGCTGGTAACTGTAGACAAAAGCATCTGGATTCCTCTCACAGGATCCAGTTCCGTCTATTGAAGTAGCGGGTGCAGCCCGCATCTCCTCCCCTCACCCAGGACAGGGCCCACCAGACCCCCAGCCGGTATCATCACAGCTCACCTGCAGCCAGCATCCCAGGATCCCAAGCCTCTTGAGACTCAGAGGCCCTGGGTGTTGTCCAGACTGCTGGCCAGCCAGAGCCACAGGGGAGATGGTGTGGGACGTGTATGTGTCTCCTTTGTGCAAACCGGAAATAGATTTGGATGATCCACTGTCCCCCGAGGATTGTCCAGTTAGTGTCTCCAGGGGCCCAGGCCGAACTGGAACTCCACAGAGATGGAGATCGAATTTTAACATGCAAGTGTGCCTTTTAACCAGTTTCCTCTTGTCTACTTTGTGGTCTGTTTTAAACAGAAATCCTCAAAAACCTTTTAATGTAGAAAATGTTGTATGTCATGCAGTAAAACCGTTACAAATGATTTGATGTCTTTTTCTCCCTTTTAAGGGGTGTTTCAATTCTTTGCACATTTTACTATGCCCTGCTTCTCTTAGGGGCTTGGGTTGCTGTTTGTGCCTCTCTAGAAGAATGACTTTTCACAATACTTGCCTTTGACCAGAGGGGGCTCCCCGCTCTGTGACTGCGACAGCTCCCTCCCTGCCCTCTCCCCTAATAGCTCTTTCCTCCACACTCTGACCCCTGAAGCTCCAAGACAGGCAGGGACAGGCGAAGGGTCTGCCTGCTTTCCTTCCATCCTTCTTCCTTTCAGATACTTAAAAAACAGCTTTAGCTAGAGAAACAGTTGGGTCGTAGTTAAGAGGGTGTATGAATTCAGTCCCCAAGGAACCGAAGGCTGAGTTTCTGCCCCGTGTGTCAGAGCTGGCTCTGGTGGTCGTTGTGTGACTGGGGCCTCCCAGCTTGCATGACTCCATGCTTTCGGTGGCCATTTATTAGCACGGATGACCAGCGCTGCACTAGGAATCCCTTGTTGTGTATGTTTGTCTTGGGTGGGCAGCAGCAGGGCCTGGGAGCTGCTCGCCTGGCCAGAAACAATTGCACTTCGATAGCACTTCCCAGGGTGGTGATTAAACACAGACAAAAGCTGAGGATTTATGCTGCAGCACGGGGCTGGCAACCACAGAGGCCATTATGTTTGCAGCAAGACGGCCCAGAGCCCTGCAGAGTCTGGCCTGGAGGCAGGCCGGCCCCCTTCAGTGGCTCTCACCCTGCTGGGCTCCAGCCAGGACTGCACAGTCTGTGTCTTAAATAGGAATGAGCAGAGGGTTGGACAGCTGGAGTCTACTGTGTCAACCCAGGGGGCTGGGGCTGGGGTGCAGTGACCACTTGACTAATTTGGGAAGTTAATAAGCTGATGTGTTCTAACTACAGGAGTAAAGGACACTCCAGCCACCGGGCTCCCATTTTTTCCTGGAGACCACTGATGTTTCTCTAATGTCCCTCCTTTGCGCCCTTACCCTGCCCCACTTTCTCAGGGAGCAGCCAGCCTCTCTGCATTTCAAAGCATCCCTTCTAGCTTTTCTCCTGCTTTTCCTTCCAAATGGTGTGGTTTGGCAGCGATCCCTGAGCTGCCTCACATCGCCTCTATTCTGGTTATTTTGGCTCAGGCAAATCCTACCAGGGGTTGAGCCTTTGGGGTCCCAGCCGTATTAGGTGCCAAGCAAGGCTGACCTCCTAGTCGGCCTGCTCAGGTCTGCTCTGTGCTTTCAGCCGCAGCTGCAGTAGCTGCCAGGAGAAATGACGTGGGCCTGGGAGTGCCCGCCACCCCCACCCCATGACCTACCAGGCAGGCCTGCCCCAGGCTGGGGCTGCCAGGAGCGCCCGTGTCTGCTGAGCTTTGCGTCTCGTTTTCCTGTAAAGAGATGCTGCGTAGCTTCTTTGTGAGTCCTTGCAGGTGATTTGAGATGTCCACTCTCTTCCTGAATGTGGGACATTGTCAGCTAGGAACCTTTTTAGGAGACTGTGCAGATGAACAAAATAAACACTGCTCAGTCTAAACACCCACCAGGAAGGAATCATTTAAATTACAGTAAATACATTTGATGGGTATTAGGTTTTTTAATTAATATGAGAAAGTACATCTGTAACAAGTGAGACAAAAGCAGGCCACAAGTTGTATATGTTATTACAACCCTGTTACAGAGCAGAAAGAAAAAGATGGGAGGGAAAACAACACCAAAATGCTGACATTGGTTATCTTGAGGGAATGAGAATACAGGTGATGTCTTCTTATTTTTTCTGTATCTCTTTATTTTCTACAGTGAACGTGTATTAACTTTTATAATTAGAAACACTGTTTTAATAATTCTTAATTCAAGAAGAATAAATATATCAGGGAAAGGGGGCCGAGAAACTCTTCAGACTTGCTTAGGGCAGCCCCTGAGTATAACAGACTGTTCTGTCCAATTCTTCTGCTGCCGACGCTCCATTAATAAGTTTGTTGAGGGCGGGGGAAGTTCTGACCTGCTTTCGTGCCCCTCTCTCCCAGTGCCTCACTCACTGACTCATTGTCGGGCTGAGTAAATCTTGGAAGGATTGAGTTGGAGACACGTATGTTCAGTATTTTTCTAAGAGCAGGGACAAGTTTCCCTAAGCAGCTGTGAGGGGTGCCCTGCAGGGGACCCACCAAAGACACCCCTCGGCCACAGTCACTGTGGGCGTCCTGACAGCTGAGCTGAAGGCGCACTCCCCTTCCTAGGCATATCAGTGTTTGTGGTTTGTTTTGATCCAGATTGGGGAAACTTTGGGCCCTGCTGAGACTCCAGGCATCCTCCCCTGCTTTTCCTTTGCTGCACGTGCTCATTATTGATGATCTCTTCTTCTGGGAGGAATGGCTCTTGGGTGGCCGGTTCTTCGCCAGAAGGGTCAAAGGGAGGGTTCCGCACTCAGTGCTACTACAGGCTTAGAGGAGGGAGGGGCCGCAGGAGACTAACAGGACCCCCGCCCCCACCCCGACACACACCCCACCGCTTACACTAGAACAACAAGAGGAATGAGGAAAACTACCCTAGGAAATGCCTTTTTGAAGAATGTTTTCCTTTTTCCAACTTTGATAAGTTTGGGGATTTGTTATTTTTTAAGTAGAAGAATACACACACCATTAACTGGTTAATTATCCGCGCCAGATTTGGGTCCAGCTCCACCTGTAGGGAATAATTGTGGTAGGCCAAGGGCCCCTGTGGATTATGATTTATGTTTTTAGTTATTTTAAACTTTGTGTCTTCATTATGGGGCCACTTTCCTTGCCCCCCTAAATCATGTTTCCTGGCGGACTGGGTTTTCTGGACGTCATCTAAGTGCAGTGGTTACCTCTGCAGCCTCTGTGGCCCCATCCTTCACCAAAACGTCACCCCAGTTAACTCATTCAGTGGACGTGAGACAGAACTGTCCCTGGCTCTCTGGACTCCTGTCAGCAGGGGCCCTGTGAGTAATCTACTCCCACCTGCCCCAGCCCCTCCCTGCCACGTGGTTTGAGTCAGCCAGTGGGGAGGACCCGCCGTCTCCACAGGCACGGTGTCCTCCTCTGTTCTGAAGGAGCAGCTCAGCGTGGCGAGACTCCAGGTGTCTGCACGCCCTCTAGAGTGGCTTCATTCCCGGATGTTTCCGGAGTGACAGGGCACCCTGTGGGCCAGGCCCACTCAGCTGGGAACTCATTGAATCTGCTTTTCCTGGCCCAGCTCCACTTGTCCCAGCACTAGCAAGTGGAGCTGGCAAAAGAGCTGATTCCTCGCTTCTCTGACCCCCTCTCCCTCCTCTGGCCTGCAGGTGTTCGAGGAACTGTGGAGGAATGAAGGGAAGACCCCAGCACAGATTGTTTCAGAAAAGAAGCTGGAACTGATGCAGGATCAAGAGGCACTGGAACAGCTCTGCCACGCCGTGATGGAGGGACATCCTCAAGTGGTAATTCTCACCCACAGGGAGAAGAGGGTCTTCACGTGCAGCGGGAGTGGGGTCCACCCTCCTGGCCAGCAGAGGGCCAGGGCGGCCTGCAGGCCAGCCTGAGGGCGAGAGCCAAGAGCCTCTCCACCGCGCCCTCTTGCAGCTCAGCGGTGCCTCCCAGTAATGGCTGGCCCAGGTTCACCAATAATGCACTGAATATTTTTGTCAGATTTTAGCTAAGGTTAAGAGATGATACGAGGTGAATATTGGAAAAATACAACTTTTCCTATAAGGAAAACCCACTCCTGGAGTTGAATCTCATGGAGTTTGTTTAAAGGGGCGTTGTCACGCTCACTAGATCAAGTTTTGACCTCCCAGCCATGTCGGCCTCTCCCAGGTTGGCATTTTGACGCTGGTGTAGCCAGCTCTGCTTTATAAGGAGGCCTCTAAATAACAACTCAGCAGGCGTGACTGCAGAGGGGAAAAAAGGTAGGGAAACACTTGAGCTTCATGCCTTTAAGAGGTGGGAAGAAAGGCAGAAAGGAAAATTACTTGTAAATTATGGGAGAAAATCCTTGACGGGAGCAAAGTAGAAAACCAAGTCATTTTGTGTTCTGAGCATAGAACCAAAGAGAAAAAGCTAAAACGAGTAGCATCCCTCTCTCCCCAAGTCTAATCATATTGTCTAGAGAGATTTTTCAGTGGGGGAAAAAAACTGCTAGCCTCTCTTTCGGAATAATACCCACCCACTCACCCGTCAGCTTGCCGGGGACACTAACAGCTCTGTAGAGAGCTCTTGATAAGGAAAATGAGCTCACGCTGAGTCTGGGCAATCTCCATCTTCCGGCCTCATCTGTGGTGACTGATAAAGACACACTCTTAGTCCCGGGCAGGCTCGTTCTCAGCACTGAGTGCAGATACTCGCAGACGTTCCTGCCGATCAAGATGCTGCAGAGCAGGAGGTCGGAGCCGGTGGCCCTGACAGTCAGTGACTATTTGATAGGAATTCAGCACCTCCTGCCTTTGTTGTCCCCGTCCTGCCCACCACAGTGCACCCCCCCACACACACATGCTCTGGGAGAGTTGCCATTTTGTGGATTTGTTTTCTGGTAAATGGAGCTTCTGGCAGGGAGTGGGGGGAGAAGGCAAGCCGTGCATTTCAGTGCCTGCCGAACACCCCCGGAGATTAGAGTGGTACCTCACTGATTAGACGAGATCATTCATCTCGGAGGACTGCAGAGGGGCCCCTGACAAGACTCTGAGAAGCTCTACGTCCTCATGTCCCTGTGGCACCCAGGAGGGGCGCACCCTCGTCTCTGCGCGCCAGCTTCTCTAGCTGAGGGCCATCACTCATGATACGTCACAGGCCTCCTCTTGTCCATTTTAATCAAAAGGCAGAGGAGCCAACATCGCCTTTGATGGGAGCCTAGAAACCTCCTCAGTTCGCCTCCCTCCCCTTTTTCCTTTTCTCATTTTATATCTAATACTAACAGGGGAAAAAAAGACCAGAATTTAAGTTTCAGTAAACATAAAGCTTAATTTAGGATTTTTAGGTATGTCTCTTTATTTTCTCCTTTAAAACAATTTCTATCTTTAAAGGTAATGGATGTGAAGAAGGGAAACCCCAGAGCTATAAATAAACTGATTGGGTTGGTCCGAAAAGCGACTCTCAGCCGAGCAGACCCGACCGTGATAAAGGAGATACTGGAGAAGAAGCTGGCCTCGTGACATGTTTCGGGTCCCTCTGCCTGAGGGGGCCAGTGCAGCCATGGCCAAGAACCGAGCCTGGGAAACCTGACCGCTGTGTGCTTGAGGTGCTGCATCTCCCAGTCCCTGGCCCGGGCAGAGCCGGGTGCCCCAACCGAGCCTGTGCCTTGGGATGCCCCGTCCACAGAAGACCAGCAGCCTGGCCCCTGTTTGCATCACTGACATCAAAATGGTTCCATGACAGCTGCAACAGCTAGCGGTTAAGAAATAGCACATTCTCGTGAATTAAAGGAGACCTACTGTTACCATTCTAAGAACACTTTTCATTCTGCAGTTCCTTCCGCAGATATTGCTGAGCATGTCCTAAGGGCTGGGCGTTGTTCTAGGTGCTGAGGATCAGCAGTGATCAAGAGAGACGTAATCTGGATGCAGTATTTCAGACCTGAAAATAGGTTAAGGAAGATGAAAACACAACAGAATGAATTAATTGACACAGCTAAAGACAGACTGTTGAGGGCAGTCTCCGGAGGGTGGGGAGGGAGGAGCTTATTAGTCTGAGGTATTAGCAGCATTCACCCATCCATGGAGTGAAAGTCCTGTTGCCCATTCGACTCCCTAGGGATCCCAGAAGGCAGAAATCTGAGAGACTTTTTTTTTTTGTAAAAAAGACCACAGAAGTTTTCAAATAAATTTAATGAATAAAATATATACTGAAATATCACATAAAAATTAACTTACACTTCAAAGATTGTGCAGTTGACAACTCCCCCTTACCCTCAGGCCAAAAAAGATAAAAAGAAAAAAAAAGCTGTAACATTAAATTGATTTGTCTTGCCTGGAAAGAATAAGATTATAAACTAGTAAGTCAGAATCTTGACCTTTAACGGTAATGGTGGTGCAGTTGACGGTATCTCCATGAAGGCTGCGCTGCCTTCATCCCGTTCTCATGACAATAATACTCTACTCTGTCTGTGTAACGCACTGGGGCACCCCCTTGTTCATGTTATGCCTCTGTTGCCTCTGACTCACAAAGCTCGAAGGCCAGTTTTGCAAATGCTGTTTTTCAAAAGCACATGTTAAATAAACTGTGACATAAGTAAGAGAACAAAATCGTTGGAGGCCCTGATTGTACACTGGATTCGCTAGCCTCCTGAGAAGAGTACAGGCATTTCCGTCGTGCATGGTGCCCCAGTGGCAGCTGGGGAGCTGGAGAAAAGGGGACCTTCCCCACTTTTCCCCACCAGCAACTTAGCAATGAACGGTTCCTGAGTTGCAGACAATGCTCAGGACTTCCATATCTAGGAGTGAGGAAAGAAGCGTCCCTCTTACCCAACCAAAAAAGCAGGAGCAAAAAGGAAACCAGTTGTGCGGTTTATTTTAGACAAGCATGAAGAGGTAAGGATTAAACGAAATTATCTTTTTTTTAAAATTTGAGACTTAGAATTATAAGAGAATATGTTACATTTCCCAGGAAGCCAGGTGCCCCTCACGCATTCTGTTGCAATACTGAAAACTAGTGGGCCTGAAAGTAAAGTATTTTCATTTAACCTCTTTTCGAGAGAAAGACCGAGTCAGTTCTCACTCCACAAGTCTCTGAATTACAAACGGGCAGAGGTGGTCTGAGACTGGAATCTGGCAGGATCATTACCTTGTAAGAAATAATGAGGTTCAGTTTTGTTTTACAAACTCTATTTTCACCAAAGGTCTGGCTTCTTTGTCATCAAACTTTACCAAAAGTACTTGAGGATCTTTCCAGACCATTTTAAATCAAGAGCTTACTTAAAGGGGGATTGTGGGGAGCAGCCAGATGAAGACAGTTTACCAAAACTATTATGTCAAGTGTGAACTGTATTACAGATTGATCATTTCCAGAGAAAAATGCCATCATTAAAACACTTGACCTTTACAATGTTAATTGTCCAGCTCTCACAGTTGCCTGTGGTCTTGAATGCCCACTTGTGAAATCCTGAAAATCGGATTGTTATGTTGTTATAACTGCTAATAGGAAAAAAGAAAAAAAAAAAATCAAAGCACAGCTCAGATATCTTACTTGGAACCTGACTAGATATCGGAAAGATATGTTTATATAACAGCCTAAGAAATTCAGAGAGTATGGCTCTGCTCGGAAACGGGCCTCAATGAAACCAAGTTTTAAATACACGTTTGCATGAGTGTGAATTTAGTCTGGTTCTTTGTTTGCTATTCAGGGGGACATCTCATTAAAATGTATGAACTGGCACCATACGTGAAGCCATTGCCATCTGTCATTGGAGTCCATATACCTGTAGTCTGGAGGGGAATGTGCTGGAAAACTGGCTCTTCCCCAGGTCCGCCTGAACCAGCTCTGCCTGGTCTGGCCCAAACCGTGTGTTCTGTTGCTTGAGGTGGAGGTCGGCTGGTTGGCTGGTTCAGGTGGGAGGCTAGGATGTCAGCCTCACTGCTCAGCATGCTACCTGGCACAGAGTACGTATTTAGTAAAAGTTCATTAAATTTCTAAAACAAAATTAATGGACAGCCTTTTGTGGGGCCCCTGTGTATGAAAGGTTGGAGGTGCCAACTACTAGGCTTTTAAATTCTGGATAGCCAGGTCTTGGAAGGAGCTCCTTGACTCTCTCCAGACTTAAACATCAAAGTTTTAATGAACTTCTGTTCCTGTTTTTCAAGGTGTAGACAGCCCAGGAAAAAGAAAGAACTTAGATCATTATTTAGACCAAGTTAAGGATACTGTAGCTGTTCCCCACACACGTACACTTCTTTGTAATTATTGCTAATCTGGAAGAAGGCTATGAAATTTTTGAAAGTACACACCCTCCTAGAGCTTTGAGTTAGTTGGTTAATTGAATATGTAGCTTATGGCCATGACCCACAATTTACATTGTATTTTTCATTTCCATTGAATTAGCTGCATCATTTCAAGGATTCTACATGGTAACTTTTTGCAAAAAACCACTAAATCTATCTGAAAGGCCATGTTATTTACCCATTACCAAAGGCAGCATGGAAATGGCTGCCATGCTTCTTCAACAGATTTCAGACAAATGCATTCACAGATTATTTGTGAACAGAGCTGACCCTCGATTTGTGAGATGGAAAGCATCTGAGTGAAATCCTCTCTTGCTGCCTCCCTTAGTCAAACAACTTAGCAAAAAATCATTTAAATAAGATCGTCAACACCAAATTCCCTCTTTTCAAATATCTCCTGGGCAAAAGGACCCTTGTTATAGGTGGGCCTTTTGTACACATACGCCAATAAAAAGTCAGCTGACACACTAAAAAGCACAGAGCCTCTGCAGCCTCAGCTCCATGAAATTTATAATCCGGCCTAAGAACTCCCATCACCCTTGTCAGGATCTGAAATGACATAGTAAATCTGAGTTCCCCAAAAGATCCCTGCAACACATATTGAACCCGTGCTGACAGAACGCACTGGCAGCCTTGTTACTTGTGTGGGTGACAGTGAGTTAGGTTTACTCACATGTTGTAAGACAGGAACAAAATTCAGAATGACTCAACAGGATAGGGTCAGTCCCAGAGAAAAATCATCACCCATTTTAGGATTCTGAGTGCAGAGGCCAAAGAAGTGAAGGCTTCCCCCTCCCTTGTCTCTGTCCTTGTCCCTACAGAACCTTACCAAAAATCTTCCACTAAAGCCCTGTTTATCCAGCTAATGAGCTACCAGGATAATCTGTCCTCCAAAACAAGTAATGGCCTAATAAATGCCTGAACGTAGGGAGGATTTACAGAGGCAAAATTATCCCGAAAACAATTCTTGGTCTTCGAGAGCTCTTTCTAAAGCGTTAGGTTTATGATGGTCATTCAAAAATAAAAAAAAAAGAGTCAACTCCATTTTCTTAAAATGTTTCTGCAATGATGTGATTTAAGAATGGAGTGTAAACTGTTTGGACAGTTTTCTGTTTGAAGCTGTTATTTGATGGAGAATTAGTGTCGTGTGATTTATAGACTGATGGTTGAAGCAAGAAGGGGCCTGAGAATATCTTCTTAATGACTTAAAGCTGATGTGGCCTCGGCTACCAGAGGATGCTGTTTCCAGGAAGAGCTAACACTGCAATGCTGGCTGAGATTCGCAGCAAGCCACAAATTACACTGGCCGGGGCCAGTGACTTGAAGTAGCATGTGCGATAATAGCTGTCCTGCAATAAAGTGTTTCATAAAAATGGCAAGCATGACAGCCATTTCAGTAAATATAGGGCTGGTAATTAGCAATTAAATTGAACTGCCCTTAAATGAGAACTGGAGAATATGCTGCAGATACCTAACATTCACACCAATGACACATCCCCCCTGTGCCCGGACAGCTCCTCCCTCAAGAAAGCAGCCTAGACACACTGATCCAGATTCCGAATGGGCGGCCCATCCACAACCCCACACCTCTAAACAGATCTGGAAACCAACCCACATGCCCACTGCAACCAAGCTGATTTAGAGACGGCAAAAACAACTTTCAACCCTGAGTACCACTGGCTGCCCAAATTGAAGAAGCAACCCAAATATTCACATAACCTGATTCTAGATGCTATTCATAAGAGGATGCTCTCCTGACAACACCCTGGCCCCTTGATGTCTTAACGGATTGAAAATCAACAACTACATCTGACCTACATAAAAGCCACTTGCTAAGGAAAAGGTACTCCCGAGGGCCCGTAAAAGAACAAAATGTGCCCTCCCTACACGTGGCAGAGACATCAGTTCCAACCCCAGCACATCAAAGTATTTTCCAAAATAATCCCAAGTAAAATGGGGACAATTTCATAATTCCTCCAAATACCCGGGAGAGGAAGTATCTACTGATAAAGAAAATCACATCTCTAATTGGTACTCCAGCATCCTCATTTCATGGCTGGGATTTTGTATTTTACCCCATGAAATGGTATGAAAGCTAAACTCAACCTGGAATTTCTTTGTTTAAAATTTTAAAGACATCTACTTGGCTATTTCCAAAAATCAATTTTAAATATCCCAGTGATCTCATCTACTTTGAACCACAGAATTCACTCCATCTGGAACTTTACCTCAGACCCTGAATTATGAATGGAGGTTAATGTTGTGATGTTCCAGGAACCCTTGACTCGCCTTCACTGCCTGGGACCATTATTAGGCTAGACACAGTGACGCCAGCCTCAGGGGCCGCACCAAAGCGTTTGTGTCCACTGTGTCCTCCAACAAGTAGCAGAGCATCTGACGTGGGAGCCTGTCACATAGAAGAGTGTCCATACTCTGGGAACATATTTTGAAGCATGCCAAATATTTTTAAATTTTTTCCCCCAAACTCCTTACAAAAAAGATATTTCTATGGGCCTCACCTATTACTTTGTGACTGGAATACTCTACTTCATTACTATGATTTGTTCCCACCAAGGAGTTCCCATGGTCACCCACCTGCTGTACAGAATCATCATATCTGCCTAGATCAACGTTCCTCCCCCCGCTCTCCTTAGCATTTGCTCTTCTCCTCAGGTTTCTGCTGTTTTTCCTCTGGCAAGTCCATGCCATTCCCTGAACGAACAACCCTTACCTAGCCCACCTGGCTGTTGCACTCAAAAACATGGTTTTTCTGGTTCTGTATAATGTGCTTCCAGGTTAATTTTCTGACTTCATTTTGAAAAACGCTGCACACGGTACTAGGGAGGAGGGTGGCAATGGATTCAGAAACATGCACCAGCTTCCAGTTCCAAATGGAGAGGGTTATCATGTGAGTTTGCCACCAGCACCCCACTGTGGGAGTTAATTCTCCTGCCTCTCACTCCAGACTCTGGCCGTGTCTGTCCTCCTTTAAAGTAAGTCTACTTAAGTACCTATTAAAAAAAATACTAAGAGGCACGACATCGGTCTCCTTCCCAAAGGGCCCCTCCCACAAAGGGGACTGTGGGGCTCTACAATAAAGCAGCGTGGACTCAGGAAGAACTGACACCGTTACCACATAACGGGGAGAAATGTAAATCAAACCCAAACCTAAAGAAGACAGTTTCCAGATGTGACTTTAGCATTTTATATACTAGGTAAGTCCAAACTGGGAGATAAATACTAGTGCAAAACAAAATCAGAGGATAATAAATTACAGCTTAAATTCCATCTTTCTCTTCTCTACCTTCAGCAACCTTCTTTCCCAGTGGAGACTAGTGCATCACACAAGCAGGCCAGTCTGCTGGGTCCCATACATTCTGGCCGCTGCACCCCAGGTGGGCAAACCATTTTTCAAGACGAATTTGAAGTCAGAAATGTATGCCAAATCGGTATTTTTGGTTTCTGGCTTAGACTCAGAAACACTGCAAGGCTGGCTCCTAGGAGCCACTCAGGCCAGGCCAGAGCTCCTGGGGTCTTCAGTCCACCGGCCAGCTCTCTCTCTCTCTTAATACAAAGCTGCTTCAAGGTCCCTGAGCCCCAAAAGGGTGGCCTCCGCTCAGGAGAGTCTCAGACATGATCCTTCCTCTCCCCTCCTGTACAAGGGGCCTGATTAAAATGAAACCAGTGTTCCAGAAGCACAACCTCCAGACCCGGGGGTCAGCAGAGGTGCCCACCAAGAGAACAGAGAGAGCTGGGCTTCCCATGTCCCTCCCAAGAGGGAGGCTTATCCTCATTACATGCTTCTCACCTGCCCAAAATAGAGGGGGGTGGACTGAATATCCATAAATATCAGTTATTTATGGTCTCATTTTTAGCCCACAACTATTCTGTGTGTTTCCCCCTCTTGGTTTGTTGTAAGGAGACTGTGACTCTAAGTATAATTATGCCTCTTGGTGCAGGCTGGAAAGCAGCAGAGAGGCGCCACTACATCATGTTGGGGCTCCTAATGAACCCCATTACTCAGAAGGCAGCATCTCCGCGCGCACTGAGACACCAGCAGGCACGTGGCTTTGCGGGGGTCCCCCATGACCTGTGCACATTGACATTCCCGCTCCCAAAGCGGCTGCACAGTTCCTCTTTCTCTACAAAGTGCAATATATTAGAAAAAGGAAACAATTTAAAAGAATTACCAATGTTTTTACAGGTTGCATTTAGTTTACCTTTATCCTTTTGCCCCATTCCATACGCCCCCCCCCCAAAAAAGAGCCCACTGTGAAAGAGCTTCACAGATTAGTCTGTTTTTCATAAAACACTTAAAAAAATTAATGATGGTTGTCTCTTCCATGAGTATGTGATACCATGCTTTCTCCATCTGATCAATAAGCTCCTAAAAACCAAAGTCACAGTTTGCATAGGTATATTTCATTTTGTGCAAATCTTACTAAAATAAGGCTATTTTCAGTGTTTAGGTAGTGACATACTGATTAAAGAAAGCTCTCAAGCAATAGGAAAATCTCCCTGCATCCCCAAGCCTCTCCCAGGCGGACAGCGACACCAGTGGTCTGCCTGCACTGTAAGGCAACACACGTCGGGCCGAGTACAGTCTTGGAAGTAAAATGCAAAGGACATATGATATGTGCTTGTGTGATGGAGGCAAGAGGGGCTCCATCTTTATTCTTCCCTTTTATAAAATGGAAGCGGAAATGCAGAAGGCCACAGGGGTGGATGTACATTCTTCATGTGCTGTTGAAGAGCCAGCCTTCGGACATGGGCACTTCCAGAAACCACCGAACCCCAATATTCGCTTGGTGTGATCCACGCTGCAAGATGAGTAAACTCAAAGGGATGGGAGAATCACAACCAGAAAATCTGAGGAAGAAAAACTGAGCAAAGAAACCTGCCAAAGGAGCACCCAGCTTACAAGACTTACATTCTATGTAACATAAGGTGGAAAGACCCGGCTAGAGAGAGAGGAGGTACATGGAAAATCCCCTCCCACAAATCAAGTATTGTCAGGAAATATCAAAGTAGAAATTTTTGTAAGCAGCTCTGCATTGAACATTCAGTCAAGACACTAAAACCTTAAAAAATAAGAACCTCTATTCAAAAAAAAAAAAAAGAGCTAACAATAGGAGTCCTCAAAGTCCCCCAGGATCTTGTAGCACAGAATGGAGTGTTCCTGGGCCAAGGCAGCCAGTTCCTTCAGGAACTCTGGGAAGAGGGCAGCGGCCAGCATGGTGTTCCTCACCGGCAGGGGCAGGCTGGGGGGCACCCCGGCCACCTTGGCTCTGTTCGTCAGGAAGGGCTGAAGCACTCTTGGGGGACCATCCAAAAGGTTCTTGCCACTTTCTGTCCTGGAAGCATCCTGAGTGGGATCTGAAACCAGAAAGCAGACTGTCACGGTGACCCTCCATAGCCTTTCATGTCCACCGTCTTAAGTGAAGTGTGCGTGCCTGGGGGATGGGAGCTGGTGGAGAGGGTCCGGTCGTGGGTTCAGCTCCTGCAGCTGACTGAAGTCTGAGGACACGGCCCTTGAGCACGACCTCATCCACTCTGTGGCACACACATCTGCCCAAGAGGTAGCCTCCACAAAGGGCATGTGAAAGGACTTTTATCCCAAGTCCCGGATAAGCAACGTTGAGCAGATATTGTGGCAAGAATATCGGTTTATCAAGAACCCTCCATGCCCAGGACCTGGTGGGGGAAAATGAAAAAGGCAATCTCTGCCATGACATCAACCACTGAGCTCACGGCAGTGGTTATCTCTCCAGCCTCCCGGTGTTGGGGACCATCCTACCTTTGCCAGTTAAGCCCTGATCACACAGCAGAGCTGCAGGAGGCAGGCTGGGTGAAACAAGCCACTCTCTGCAGCTCGTGCTTTGACCTCTGGGGCTCCTCAGAGACCCCCAGCTCCTTCTGGCCGGCACCTCTGGTCTTTTGTGGAGAAGAGAATGGAAGAAGCCTTTTAAAGGCTGGAAATAATGGAGAGGAAGTTGGGTGCTGGTAAGAACAGACTTGGAACTTCCTGCAACTGTGGGCATCTGGTGACAGCAAGTGGCTTGGAAGCATCCATTTCAGGGAGGTTTCCAGGGTTTCTGCTCTCAGTCCCACTAACACAGGTCTAAGATGATATGAGCCCAAACTTTAACACATTCAAGTGATTTGCATTTTCATTTCAAATCAGCTTTACTAATTAAAACGGCTCAACTTTCCCAACTATTTAATTCCTGAACATCTCCAGCCTTCATACATTTATAGGAATTATTTATGCCTTCTTCTGTCCCCTTCTCAAACAGTCTCATTACTCCTTATAAATCATTATATTCAAGCTCTTCATTATTTTGGCTGCTTTTTAGAATTCAGTCCCATTTTTCAACACTCTTCTCAGAGTGTCGCTTAACTACAGTACTAAAAATTCTTGACATTTATAGTACTTTCCACATCTCACTACTATAGTCTTTAGTGTTAAAAAAAAAATCCTCTGCTTTACTGCTTTAAATATCTTTTTAGATTAAAGCTTATCACAGTTCGTGCCACAAAGAACTGAAGAAGTTGTTGAGAGTCTGTCTACTGCTATCTTTTAGCAGGAACTCACGACATGTCCTGACAACAGAGTAAGGACAAATGTTGACATCACTGAGGTACACAGCCAACCTTGGAGACCACCCTAAGCACCCCCACCCTGGCCGTCCACACTGCAGCTCTCCAAAGGGCCCAGCGAAGCTCACGAAGGAAGCTGGCCTGGATACCAGTAGACAATGGGACACTCACGGGCTCTAAGCCAAGACCAAGACCTGTATTGTTCATGCTAGTTCCCCCACCTGGAATTCCCATCCCCGTCTCTGCACACCTAAATCTTACTAGCCTCAAGAGGCACCAGTACAGTGGTTAGGAGCACAGACTCTGCCACTTACTGGCTGAGTGACATTGGGCAAGTTGCTTTATCTCTCTGCACTTTAATGTTCTCATCCGTCAGAAGCTCACAGAGTCACTGTAAGGATTAAATGAATCAACAGGTATAACGTACACAGGGACCTCTTGCTAACTGTCAGCCATCACATTATCATCAAGTCAGTTGCTACTGACTTCACAAAGCACTTCCTGTTTCCTGCCCCTAGAAGTAATTCCCTGTTCTAGCCTCCCACCCCACTTGATTTATCAACCAAGGCCTGCATTGCCCTTTAGCCTTGCATTGTTGTTTATGGTTTTTCTCCTCCACTAGACTTTGAGCTTTCTGAGGGCTGAGCCCCTATCTGATAATGTGTCCTTCGTGGCCCCTAACACACTTCCTTATTCATAGTGGAAGCCAATAAATATGTGCTGAATGAATGAGGGAAGGAACTGACCAACATCAGGTCTTCCCCACAGCTGATTTTCCTGGAACTGGTTCATATTCCTCATCTCCATCTTTTTCTTTCAAATTCACTCTTTCTCTTCTCCCCCAAGACAGGTATCTGTGGCTCATTTACGTAGCTTTATCCCTGAATTTAAAAAGTGTCATCACTAAGGCTCATCTACCCAGGATGAATCCGAGAACCAAAATTCATTCTAATGAAGGCAGGAGAGCACCAAGGAGAGAGACTGAAAACTAGCAGGAAATCCTTACAGTGCTTCCGTCCTATCATCACGGGCTTTCAATGTGTCACAAGCGCCATCGAGCTCTCAACTCAAAAGCAAAGAGACCCAAGTTATGGTCCCTACCTGGCAACTAGCATATCATATAATGTCTCAGTTTCCTTCTCTGTGAAATGGGGATAACTCCTACCTGACGTCCCTTCCAGAACAAGACCAGCGAAAGGACTCAGAATACAAGTAAATACAAGGAACTGTTCCTCTGTGGTCTGAAAGTAGTTGAGGGGAAAATGAAAAGCCTGGCAAGTGGCTGAGCCTCAGAGACCAATGGTCTCAAGAATGACAATGAGACAGCTGGCACAGAAGGTCCACCAGCTCTGGATCCGCGGTCACACGGACTTTTACTTCTCTCTGCATGTTAGTGAGGAAGCTTGTTTTCCACGGGGGCTGCCAGGAGGCCAAGGGAATGCAGGGCCTACACGATGGAGCAGCTCTGGGGGACAGAAAGTCTTCTATCCCGAGAGAGGCTCCCACAAGTCAAAGTCACCTGAGTGTAACAGACCTTAGAAAGCATCAACCACAGCTGACTGTTCTAACAACCTTACACAGTGGGAATGAGGTGCCCTGCCACATACGTGTGGCATCCAACAGTCTAAAGCCAGGACAAGGCACAGGTGTGAGGGACCCCACAATCCCCACCCACCATCCCTCCCTGGAACGTGTGGGTTGAGGTTCTCTCTTGCCATGGAGAGCCTGAGAGGCCAGCCAGTGTGTGCTTGCAGCTCCCTGAGCCGGGCAGGGCAGTCTCAGGCACTGGAGCCTCGTGATCCTAGCTGACCAGCCTGGGCCTCTAATTTCAGCTTCCTTATGTGAAAATGAAGCTAACAGTACCTTTCTTGCCCATTTCCCAGTGCTGTTTGAAAATAAAAACTGACTGTCTGGGAAAACATTCTACAAATTGTAAAATACAAATGAAGACCAAGCCCGGAGTGTAATGTAAGGAGACTGAATTCACCTTCTGTCTAGCAGATTGCAAAAATGGCCATCATTCTTTGCAGCTCTTCCCATCAACAGATGGGGGTTTTGCTCCATTCCTGAACCTGGGCTGGCCCAGCAACTTGCTTTGGCCAACAGAATGCAGCAGAATTGCCTTTGTGTAAAGCTCCAAGCCAGAGCCTCAAAAGATTTTGTATGTGCCTGTTCTTGCTCTTGCAACCCTACAGCCACAATGGTGACAAGCTTGGACTAACCCGGTGGATGATGAAAAACACAGACCCCCATCATCCCCATCACCCCAACCAGCAGCTACCTATGTGAGTGAGGCCATCCCAGACGTCCAGCCACCTGCTGATGGCAACACGCAGGTGAGTCCAGCCAAAATCAGCTGAGCCTGGCCCAGATCAGCAGGACGTCCAGTAACCAGGCAGACTCAAGAGCACTCAAAAATGGCTTTGTTTCACGCCACTGAGTTCTTGCAGTGGTTCATTATGTATAATGGCTAACTGGTGCACCTTCTCTCCCAGGGCGAGTTACGGCAGCACGCTCCCTGTTCAGGAGGAACACAGCTGTAGGACTGTGTACTGTGGCTAGGAGAGGCCATGTGGGGATGTGGGGCCTGCTGTTCACCTCCCCACAGAGACGTTTCCCTCCTTAATGGCCTTGCTTGCTCTTCTCAAGAGCTGAAGCTTGAAGCCTGCCCCCTGCATTTTACTGGTGGCACATGGCCCACCTTTCTTTCAAAATCTGCCTTGTGGTACCCTAAGGGCTCTTCACGCCCAGAGGTCTACAGCCAGAAAGGACTTGAGAGAGGGAAAACAAATGCTTCATTTAAGAGTCGAGGAACATGAGGCCCAGTGAGGCAGTGACCAAGATCAAATAGCCACACAGAGGCAAGGTCAAGCCTTCAGAGTTCGGGATCTTTTCAGCTTCCTTTAGAGGTTTAAACATTGCCTTGAGTTACATTTCTGCCTTCAGAGCCGGTTTCTGGCCTTTAGCCCAGACCTGCGAGCCCCACTCTCTCCAGTGTCCACCTGCCATGAAGAAGCTTGTCTTGTCCTGAGAGGTAGCAAAAGCCAGTGTGAGATGGGGCATTTCCTAGGCTGCATTCACCAAGGCCTGAGTCACAGCTGAGAAGACAACTGGTCATCAAAACTATCCATCCTGGGCTTGAACGAGGCAAACGAGCGGCACTCCCAGGCTTCACCAGGGCCCCAGCCTAACGCGCCAAGAGCTGATGGAAAGGTCCTCCCAAGGATTTTAAGCTGAGCATAAACTTTACTTCTCCCAGTCCAAATGAACATTTTTTACTTTCCAGAGCCCTAAAGCACATTTCTTTTTGGCCAGAGAGTCTCTGAAAACATAATAAGGAGAACAGATGCCCTCCTAAGGGTAGGGCTGGCCAAAACCTGGCTCAGGGCATGCATATAACGCCTCTTTCTGGCCCATATGTGCCGAGTTATTTATTCTAGCCTGGCAGCAACCCACACATCACTCCTTCCCCGAACCACTCTCAGGGAGGGAAACAAATGCTCCGCTAGACCCTCCAAACTGGGAACAGGCCAGGTGCAGGCAGGGCGGACCTTTCTTTAGGTTTAAGAACACCGAGAGGAGGCTCCTCCCTGCTGGGTAAAAATGAGAATATATTTAAGTGCTTTAAGCACGCAGAAGCCAGTGCAGGCTCTGCGAACCCAAATCAGGACGCTGGGGAAACGGAGGGGCAGTTGAAGGAGAGACACAGGCTCACCTTTGGTTAGTGACTCTGGGGTCAGGTCGGACATGTCCACTCGGAAGAGCAGGTATTGCTGGGCTTGTATGAGGAGTCCTGGGAAGTCTCTCTCCACCGAAGCAAACTGTTCGATCTTGTTCTTCACAGATGCAAGGACCTGTCAACAACAACATTAATGAGGCTGATGCTTCACAACGAATTCCACCCACAGTTATCAACATATCATTCAGGTAGAGCCCTCCTTGCAGGAACTATTACGATATTAGGCATCTGCTCATTTTTAACTGCCTGGGCGTTCCTGCTAGGACACCCTCAAGACATCAAACTAAATGAAGCTTTGCAGTTTGTCTAGAATAATCTACACAACTAACGTAATAGGACAAGGAAGGTGAGCAAATGATTTAGAACAGAGGGATTTTTGAAAAACAACGAGATAACAAGGAGAAAAAGAGAAGGAGCTCCACTCATTAGCAACCATATAAGCAACAGGTATGGTGATGTGGCTCAGTTAACGGACCTGATACAGAGAACGGACGCTTGGCTGGAAGACCATGTTGGTGTTGAGCAGAAAGGAGCGCAGGAGTGGCTGGGGGTAGCTGGCTAGCTGAGTAATGATCCCAATAAGCAGCAAATTAACATGCAAAGAGTTCTCCAGCATGTTCTCCAGCTTTGACAGGACCACGCTGATGAATGGGCCTGTGGGAAGAACACAAGACATGAGGGCTGGCTGGGCATACAGGACGTCTTTCCCCAACAGCGAGGGGGCCGCAGCTCCCGAACCCCCAGAGGCCCACCAGGTGCAAATCAAATACAGACACGGCAGATACAGCCAGGTCTTCTGCCTCAAAACTGAAACACAAAACAAACCACCTCCACAAAAAGAAAGCAGAAAAATATGCGTAAGAGCTAATATTTTGATTGCATGAGTGCTTTAATACTTTGAAAATTATCATAGACATTGAAAAAAATAGACAAGAAATAATTTAATTTTAAAAATTAAAATATACTTTGCCACACTATTTCTGTATTTTTAGGGGCTGCCAATGCTCAAAAACATGACATCATCATCTCGTGATACTGCGTGCCGGAGGGCTCCATGCGAACATGAGAGGCTATCAAAAGTTTAAGTAACAAAAAATCTCTGTGCTATTAATTAAAGAATACCAAACACACGTGAACTCTGTTTACCAAATAGCAACACTGTAAACAAGATTGTCTATCCCCAGCAATCACTGTGAGAAAGATTCTGTCTTGTCAAATGTCACAATGTGGAAGAATCAGAAGAAGAGAAAGACAGGGATGAATGAGGCCTGGGTTGCAACTTAGCAGCCCTGGGCAACTCAGCAACCGCATGTTACTTTTCAGATGTGAGTGAGAGAGAGAGAGAGAGAGAGAAGGGCCTGGGTTTGGGGAGATATAGTTTGCTGTATCATAGGTTCCTTAAAAAAGAAAATCCATATGACTACAAAGGCAGTTCATTAAAAACTGAGGCAAAAAGAAGCTTCGACTAATTTGGGTCACTATAAAATTAATATGCTTTATGTTCGAGTTCATTGAAGACAAGGAAAATCAAGAAAATAAATCTGGCATTAATAAAATTACTTGAAGATGTTTTCCATTTTTACCATAAAAGTGGTCCATTAAGCAAAATCAATGAGAATTTTATATTTCCCCCAGTGGAGCTATTGAGGATGCCACTAAACCGTGGAGTGTTTATAACAAAAGCACACAACCCTTGATGAATAAACGTGCCTTATGAAGACTCCACCAACATTAATAGTTTAACAAAAACATACCTCATCACAAGATGCTTCGTTCAAAAGCCTTGGTAGTGTAAGAGAGTAAAACCCTTTGCAAGAAAACACAAGCTATCTGTGAGAAACGGAACACCAACCCTTTAGCCATGCAGCCGAATAACAGGGTAGCGGCAATATTCCCCTAGGAACACAGGGGATGTCTCTAAACGACCTCAAAACACAGAAAAGGCATCATCTCCTCCTGCGTCGAGCTTAGCCTCAACTTCTCCATCCTTGGGATGGCAGGCAGGGCTCCTCAGTCACTTTCCATAACCCAGGAGGTCAATGAACTCTTCAAACAGAGTCTTTGCAGAGCCCTTGCTTACTAAACAAAACGGGGAGAGTTTGCCAAACACATTCAGAAACTCTGGGTTGGAACCCTAGTTTGAAAAGCAACTTGATGGTGTTCCCATAAAGAACCCCAGAAATGTCATTGATAACTCTTCTTGAGGCATCACAACACAATTCTAGCTTTTGAGCTAGATCTACAAGGAGAAGGCTGCCGTCCTCACCCTCCTCAAGTCCAGACCCAGTCTTTCCCCATCCCCTCTCGCCCTTTCTCCTGCCGTCCCGGGCTCAGCATCTGTTTCCTTCCAGAGGTAACAAAGATAGGTGAACTAAGTCATATTTAGGTGAGCAGAGTCTTCTGTAAAACATATGTCCTAATGTGAGCCCTCAAACTCCCCATGATCCCAGACTGCAGTTGGCCTCATCCAGCCATCTGCATCAAACATGAAAGCCGCTAACCACGCAGTGACCAGGGGAGACCATCCACAATCCATCACTACCACAAGGGAGGAAAAAACAAAAAAAACCCAGCTTGAACCCAGGCCCTGTGGAGAGTGTCATCATCGTCTCACTTGAGCAACAGAATATTAGACCAAGGCCAGCAGACTGTCATTATAATCCACTACTGACATTAATTATAACTTCTTAGGCATGTGCATTAAGAAACACATATTAAACCCTTTCAAATTTATGTTTTATTCTTAGTTGATTTCTAGCACTTACAAAAAAACTGCTTAGCAAAAAGCAGTTGCTAGGGGAAACTGGTAAGGAGCTGAAGTCAGAAAACTCAGCTGCAATTCAGAAAGCCACCAGTGTATATGGGGAATGCAGGGCGTATTTTCCCCCCTTTTCTAGGAGGATAGATAAACTCCCCACTTATAAAATATTTCATTTGTCAGAACAACTAAGACCATCTCCACCACCCCTCCCTGTCATTCTCTTCTCTCCCCTCAAGGAACCTCTCCCTGCCTCAAATCCACATACCCGCCTCCTGTATTTCCTGACTCCAAGAATGGAGCTGCCATCAATTCTGTGCCTTGGCTCTGCCAATTCCACCTTGGACAGACCTCCTGAGTGTGGACCTTCCTTCACCTCTACTGCCTGAGGTCAGTCTCATCATTTCTTGTCTGGACTCCAGCAACAGTTTTGCTATTTTAACAGAGATTAAAATGATTTAAATTTTTTTTTCTTCAAACAGTGTAGGAGTGTAGGAGTATAAAATGAAGAACAGGCCACCCCCTGGAGGCAATCCCTGTTAACAGATTTGAGTATATTCTTCCAGAAATGTTTTATGTGTGTAAAGAAAAAAAATAATTGAATTATTATTAAAAACATTTATTAATCACTTCTTATGTGCCAGGCAGTGTTCTAAGCACTTCTCATGTATCAACTTAAATATTCACCACAACCCTGGGAAGTATGTTTATTATTTATCTCCATTTAAAGATGAGGCAGAATGCTAAGTGCACACAGCTGGTAAGGAAAGAGTCACAATTTTAATTCAAACTATGTGTTTCCAGTGCCTGTACGCTACCTCCCAGGGGTGTGTGGGTGTGGGTGTATGTGGGTGTGTGGGGGTGTGTATGTGTGTCTATCTCCTGGTATTTTTTTTTTAAACAAATGACAAAAAGACAACATTCTGTACACACTGTTCTGCACCTGGCTTTTCCACTTAGTATTTCCTGGAGCCTGTCCGATCTCAGCACATCCAGAGCTGTCTCGTTCATCAGAGGGCCTCAACATACTGGACTGCCGTGCATGTTGCATTAGTAAAGCAGTCTTCTACTGGTGAACACTTGGGTTGTTTCCAGTCTTTTCTATTATAAACAATGTTGTAATGAACATCTTTGTAAATACATCTGGACACCTAAGCGTGAATACAGCTGTGAAAACATTCCTGGAAACAGAATTACTGGATCAAAGCTTTAGTGCATTCTGAATTCTGGTATGACAAGAGCCTCTTACTAAATCTGCCTGCCACCTCTCCCCACTCCAGTGCTGTCTCCACACCACTCCAAGGCTAGCTGTTTCACACACGCATCCAGTCACATCACTGCCCAAAAAGTGTACTTTTGGGCTTGTCTTCAGTGCCAGGAGCACAAGGTTCCCATTCCTCAGCGTGGCCCAAAGGCGCCCCACAAGCTGGCATCAACCAAGCTTTCTAGCATCCTCTCTCACCTCTCTGCCTCCCACCACCCACTCTTGGTCATACCCCCATGCACTGTCAGGCTCCTCTGTCTTCTCCTGCTGTCTCCTCTGCCTGGACTATTGTTCCCACCCACTTTTACCTGTAGCTTCAGTACACCATTCCAGTCCCTCCTCCATGAAGCCTTCCCCACGCCCTCCACTGGGCTCCCACAGGACTTGGCATACAATGACTAATACACATTTCTCACTGAGAGCACAGTTCTTTGTTGATGTCTCCTCTGAAAGTCTGCGAATTCCTTCATTTTTGTGTCCTTAGGACCTAGCATAGAACCTGCCAAATATTAGACGATCGATAAAAGATTGCTGGATGCACAAATGAAATTAATTACACAAATGGAATGCTTTGACTTTGCTGAGAAGCAAATTCATTTCAGTGGAAATCAACATTCCTCGCTGAGATGGAAGTTAAGCCTAATGCTACAGAACACACTCAGAGGTTTGGAAATGATGAAGTTTACATACGTGGAATTAGAAAAGATGTTTCCTGAAGTTGTGCACAAGTTTCAAAGGAGGAAAAAGGCAAGGTTTTAGTTAAAATTTACCTATGTGTATCCAAAAACTCATGTTTTGTTGGTTCTCAGATTTATCCTCTGCAAAATATTGTTGTTATTTAATAAGGTGTTTTATTAGCTTTTTTTTTTTTTTGCCCTAAGCTATACTTTGTTTCCTGTTGAGGAAACATATTTCCCAGAGATGAAGCTCCTTTCTAAGATAGCTGGCATTCTACAGAACAACCTTCATCAGCCACAGGTAGCCCTGGAGGCCTGGAGAACCCTGAAGGATGAAGCTGGGATTTCCTGCTGGGTGAAGGTAAATGGAGGGAGGCCTCAGCAAAACCAGGACGTGTGCTAGGTTACGCCTGCCCCTTTCTCTCCAGCTGGGCTCCCTGCCCCTCCTTCAGCCAGCCAGGGCCGCCCTGCTCCCTCCACCCCCCAACCGTCCCCTTATCAGCTGGGAAATGCAGATTATCTAATCCTTTTTACTTATGATTGACTGACTGATTGAATTTTAATTAAAACCCACTCACACTGAAATCTTATCTCAACTAGAACCTCAAGCCTTTTAATTGTGGAATTAAAAGCTTTCTCCCCCTTTAAATAAATTTTCAGGCATCAGTAAATAGATGGATAAATATTGGAGGAGGGTGGGAAGCTCCCTGAAAACCATTAGGCCCACCTGGCTGGACCAGAGGTAACATGATTTGATCTACTTTGGGTGACCCAAGGAGGTGGGAGCATGGTCTCTCCTCACCAAGTGCTCCCTGCTTGCCAGGGAAGGGCACCCAGGTGGGCTTAATGGGATTAATAACAATAATAATGGCCTGTAATAACAATAATACTGACTCTGCGCACACACACACACACATTCAGTCCTCACAGGGGCAAACAGAGAGTCAGGGACACTAAGGCCACATGGCTAGAAGCGCTAGAGCCAGGACTCCCCCACAGGCCTGGCTCCAAGGCCACTGTGTCCCTCTGTGATGCTAGCTCCTTCAGCATCACATCCGAGGGTCCCACTCCAGTTGGGTCCACTCCTGAGCTTGATGAACCCTCTGTGTCAGTTCCCTCCGTACCACGATTCACAGATTCAGATTTTACTGGCTAATATTTAATGTTTCCAATCATAATTCCTCACCCCAATCCACTTACCTGATGTCCTATCCTGTCCCTTTGCCTCTTACGTGGTTTCTGCCTGTTGCTGGTGGCGTATCCCTGGAACACGCCTATTCTTTAGCAGAGTCATGAGTTTATGCGAGTCTACTCTACTTATTTTGGACGGAGTTTTGTGACTATCCGAAAAGAGCTCCCAGGCAGAAGCACAACAAACCCCAGTGGTCTCTGATGTGCACACAGCTACACTGATCCAGCAAGTATTCTGAGCACCTGCCACGGGCTCTGTCCACTGTGCAGGTGCTGCGGATGGAGCACAGCACAAGTCAACAGCCACAGAACATGCCTTCCACCGGGGACGCCATAATCGTTTTTAAATACACATAAAAATAAATGCTAAGGAGGGAAATAAATTAGACTAAAGGAAATGAGGCTATTAAATAATGAGACTGGATTTCCTGTATGGTCGAATCAGTTCTATTACTTTATCACAGGCATATCAAGGGAAGTTATGAAACAGTAAAATTTAACCTCTAAGTTGCTGGGGGAGAAAAACAAGACAATCACTGCAAGAAAGACAAAATAAAATAAAAATGAAACCAGCTCTCTTTGCTCTTTACAGCAACACCTCATCCCTCTGTTAGGTAACTTAACAATGCTCCTTACCTCCATCTACCTCACTTTCCTGGTGCAGTAAGTACAAGTACTTTCAAAGGCAGAAATCACAAAGCAATGAAAGACCGTCACCTGTGAACGGGGTGCTCTGAGTCCTCACGGGATGGTGACTGGCAAAGGCAGTCTCCTCTCTCACCCCAAACAGGGACGGCACAGGCTCTGGGGCAGGAGTTTCCGCTATAAAAGAGTCAAAGTCGTCGTCCTCCTCTTCTAGTTCCTTTTTCCCCTCCTCCTCTTCCTCCCTGTTTCCTTCTTTGCTCTCGTCTTCCATCCCCTCCTTCTCTTTTGTGAGAAGCAAAGGATCAGGTGAGGAGAAATTCTGTTCTGTCAAGCCCTTGGTGCCAGAATCCAGGTCTTTAATGATTTGGTCACACTGGGCAATGAAATCTTCCCCCTCTGGGTTAAGAACTGTCAGGTTTGAATTATGCTCTGCCTCAGAGACAGGGGGTGCTAACTCTGAGTCTGGTTCTGGGGCGACTTCAGGCTCATTCTCTTGTTTTGCTTCCGTGGACACATTTTGAAACAGGTCTGAATTGTCCCTACTAGGTTCCTCCTCTGAATCTGTTTGTGGCTGAGGGCTGGGCAGAGGGCCGTTGTTCATGGGGGGACCCTGAACCTCGGACTGGGCTTGACTTGCAGTTTCCTCCTGTGAATTCCCAGTGTCCTCAGAGTCCTTCTCAGCACACAACCTGTACACCATCACGTCGTCCTGAAAGTCGGATTCTTCAATGTAGGACCCTTTGAAGAGCAGGATGGCATTCTTCTTCATCTCCTGGATGTGTTTAGGGGGATCAATTGGTGCCGGCGGGTCTGAATTCTCCAGATTGTTGTAAGGCCCAGGGGAACCCACACCTGCCCCTGGGGAGATTCCAGTGTCGTAGCTGTCATCCCACTCCAGCTCCGTCTGGCCCTTCTCCTTTGCTGGAGCCAGCTGAGACCCTGTCTTCCTGGGGAGTTGCTGTGGGAGCCTGAACACAGGCTGGGCGGAGTTGGTAGCGCTCTCCTCTGTCAGACTCCGGAGCAATGTCTCAGGATGGGGGGAGTCTCCGTCATATAGGGCGGACCAGACACGACAGTCCCTCATGCAGCGCAGGATGTTGGTGTGGGCCTCCCAGAGGTACTGCAGGTAGCTGATGTCCAGGGCTTTGCCATACTCCACGATGCAGGCCGACGGAGAGAACGCCTCTGGGAGTGGCTGCTCCATGGGCCCTGTCACAGGAGGCAGAGACAAGTCTGAATGACAGAATGAGGCTCTTTCTTACACTTTAGAGAGGGTGAGGACCAGCGTAGTGGACAGAGATGTGACTCACTCAGGCTGCTAAGACTTTATCTTGCCAGCTAACTGGTTCTAATAATTTCTGATTAAATAACTTCTGAATAATAAAAAGTGGTTAGATTTTTAAGAAGGAAAGAACAGAAACTCTACCCTCATAAAATATATAGAACCAGTATGGCCAGTCAGATACTGCCTATATTCAACATAAAACTCTTATTTGGTATCAGTCGTTAGAGAAATAAGAGCTAATAACATCAACCCCTCACGTTGTTGAGAGGATTAAATTAGGTAATATATCAAATATAGTACCTACCACAGGGTAAGTCATAATTAAAAAGATTTTTACATTGACTATAAAGTGGAAAGTCTGTAATCCATGAATTTGGGAAACAGATTTTCTCTAGAAAATCCTGGGTTTGTAGAAAAGCCTGTTAATTCATTCTGCCTTCCTGGGAACTACTGGGATGTTGACATGTACCAAATGGTCTCTTATGATAAAGTCATGTTCACTACCAAAACAATCCTCTTAACTGCTTCCTCTGTTATCACATGATGCTCTGCCTTTGATGTGAAAAGTTCTCAAACGGATAACTGAAACAGCTGTGAAAATGTCTGCATTTACGCTTACATTTTCCTTCAGGAAAATAGAAGGACTCAGACAAGGAAAAATACTCTACCATTTCTTAAACTCCATCTACTATGTGGCAGGTGCTTTATCAGTGCTATCTAAGTCAAGCCCCACAATAACCCTACATGGCAGATATTATTTTCTCCATTTACAGATGAAGAAATTGAGGCTCAGAGACAAAAGATCACCCAACTGGTCAGTGGCAGAGCCACAACTCAAGCACAGGCTGTCCCCCGTCAACCCCATTCTTATCAGGTTCAATGCCACAACTTTGCAAGCTTCTTGTCTCTTCAATATTTAAATCTCTACCAGATTGGGCCAGAGTTGAACCTTTAAGAATACACATTTTCAGGTCATTAGGGTAGACATAATCTGTTTTTTACAGCTCTACTATTAAAAGGTTAATGTTTACCTCTTATCCACTTTAAATAAGAAGACATCAAAAACAACTACTAGCCATATTTATTTAGCACTTACTATGCCAGGTTGTCCTCTAAGATCTTTACATGTCCTAGGTCACATATCCTTGGAACAACCTTTGAGGTAGGTACTATTTCACAGATGAGGAAAGAAGTTTAGAATGGTTAAGTAATTTGCCCAAGAAAGTAGCAGAGCTGAGATTCAGACTCCTAGCTCTAACCACTGCACAATAATTACATTATCTATCCACCCACCTACCTACCTATGTAACCATCCATCAGGCCACTTATCCGCTGTAAGGCAGCCCCAAAAGTAGGACAGTAGAAAGAACATGGAATTTGGAATCAGGGGACCTACCAGCTGTGTAACCTTGAGCAAGTCACTTCCTCTCTCTGAGTTTGTTTCTTCATCTGCAAAATGGGAATACTACTTTCTTCAAAGGATTAAATGTGATAACAGAATAAGAATGTGGCAAGTTGCAGGCACTCAACAATTGTATGTTTAACTTGAATGTTGAATTCTGCAGCAAGGTCAGTCACAGAATCGTTCTTGAAACAACTTTTTCAGTAAATAAAAAAGACATGAATTTTCAAATATGTCTTAAAAAATAACTATTTGGGGGGCTGGCGCCGTGGCCGAGTGGTTAAGTTCACACGCTCCGCTGTAGGCGGCCCAGTGTTTCGTTGGTTCAAATCCTGGGAGCGGACATGGCACTGCTCATCAAACCACGCGGAGGCGCATCCCACATGCCACAACTAGAAGGACCCACAACAAAGAATATACAACTATGTACTGGGGGGCTTTGGGGAGAAAAAGGAAAAAAAAAATTAAAAAAAAGAAATAAATAAAAAATAAAAAAAATAACTATTGGGTAGGAAATATAAGATATCCATACTAGTTTACCTAACAGGAAAATATATTTAAAATACTTGTTATACTGCCACATAACTTATTAATTTCTATGGTACACTGTATCTTTATTTAAAGACCAAGAATCAGTAAGAGAACTTTAATTTCTAAAAATTACATTTATACCAAATGAGCTGATATTCTCTTAGTCGAGTAGCCTGGCTCTTAGAGAAAATATATTTTCTCTAAGAGGACTGTAGCTGGGTAGACAGAATGCCATTGTTTGGGGGGATAGCAGAATACAGATTGCAAACACCAGGACTGGACCATTTCCTAATGGTCCCAGGACAAGCAGAATCTTCCTGAACTGAAACAATCTTCTGACCACCACAGATATACAAATGCCCCCTTGCTTTAGCTGCCTGCCAGAAGGCCAAGGATGACATGAATGGCCATTTAAATTTTACTTATACAAGATCAAGTGCAGCTGGCAAACAGCACATGAGTACTATAACCCCTGTAAAAACAGACTGCTTATGAAAAACCCCTCATTCAATCAAATGAATCAGATACTGTCACCATATCACAAATTTCAAGTTTTATAATGATATGTTATTGGCAAACAAACATCCATAAATGGGTCATTTTGGAAATTAAAATAAGGGCTAATTCTATCTTAGCTACAGCTATCTCTACATGCCCAGCCCCATTTTGTTTAAAAAGACATGCCGGTTCACGTTTTCACATTTGGCCTCTCAGGATGCCACTATATAGCCTAGTTAAAATAAAGGTCTGGGAATACTGACTAGGTGCCAGCTGGGCACTTCAATCAACACTGATTACAAGGTGTCCATAACTCCTTACAAAGCACAAAAAGACCCCCAACTAGTCATTCATAAAAGAAAGGGGACTCATTACACTATTCCTTGTCTACCCAAAGAGACACATATCCGAAGGAGAGACGGAATTTGGCATCCTTTCATTTAGAGATCATCACCAGCGAGTTCCTACCTGAACTGTCATGTGTACACTTTGACCAAAGAATATAATCCCTCTCTTGGTTCCCAAGTGTCAGGGTGATCCCACTGGAACAGCAGACGGGGGTCAGGGCGAGTAGCTTGGCTGCAGAGACAGAGTAACAGTCTCTCTCCTTCACAGCCCACCTCTGACTCAGCATCATGTGATTGCAAGGGATCAGATACCTGCAACGACAAAAAGGCCCAGCATTCAGTCTCTGCAACGTCCCTTCCCAGTCAGCCACCTCCTAAGCCATAATCAGGACTAGCCATGGCCAAGGTAGACTCATCTTCTCCCCACTCTCAATCCATCCATCCCACCAGCCCCCAGGGTTCACTCCCTTGCTTAAAAAACTAGTCAAGGGCTTCTTTCTTCTGACAGAACAAACCCCTTGCAGAGCATTTAAGGGCTTTCACAATTTAATCTCCACAAACTTCCTCATCTCTTAATGGATCTGCCATCCCTCTTTGCCTTCGTGCCTTTGCATCCACTGCAACCTTTGCCTGGAACGTGCTTTCTCCTTCCTCTGCCTGACAAGTGCCTTGTCATCCTAGAAAATCCAGTGTCATCTTCTCTAGGAAGGCTTCCGGGCTTCCTACTCCAAGACAGAGCTACTCTCCCCCTACTATGCTCACAGTCCTCTACTAAAGCACTATTACCTAGTATCACAATTATTTCAGCATCTGCCTCCTCAAATAGTGCTACCAGAGGAGGGACCTCCTTCAATAGTTTTGCCTTATAATCCCAGAAATTCTGACTCACAGTGGGCACTGAAGGACAGTGGTTGCACAAAAAGGCAAAGAACCCCTCCACAGTGCAAACTTCCTCTCATATTCTCATGGGTGACCATGAGAAAATATGGTGGCTGAGGATTCACCGAGGAGCACTGGGCCCCGTTTCACACAAAACGGTGATCAAAAGCATCTTAGTATCATGATGAGCCTGGAGACAAGAAAATCTGGACAATCATTTCTTCACTTCCAACAGATTTGGAGCACATCAGTGGGCTTCATGGGTAGAATAAAGTGTGTTTAAATGGTTTAGTTTCTTTCTCTCTGTCTCTTTTTTTTTTTTTTTGCTAGGGAAGATTCACCTGAGCTAATATTTGCTGTCAATCTTCCTCATTTTTTTTGTACGTGAGCCATCACCACAGTATGGCCACTGACACACAAGTGGTATAGGTCCAAGTCCGGGAACCAAACCTGGGTTGCTGAAGTGGAACATGCTGAACTTAACCACCAGGCAACCAGGACTGGCCCTAGCTTACTTTCTTAACAGAGAAAAGGGCTATGCTGTTTATTTAAACAAAGATGGGGCAAATGGGATGGAGGTCTCATAGCCAGAACCAAGTGTCACAGGTGTGTGCAGGAGCCAATTTCAGAAGAGCATGAGCCCTTACGTGAACAATCACAATCTTCAAGAACCAGAATGTTTTTGTTTCTGTATTCAGCTTTCAAGAAAGAGGCAGCACAGAGGAAAACAAGCTATAATTAAGGATTCAGTGAAAAAGATAAGAAGTACACAACTTTCAGGGTTTTGAGCCTGTAAATATAAAGCTGTCTCCCACATCTGTTGATCCAAATGAGGAACATGTATTTTTATACTGATGACTGACCTACTGCAAGAGCCTGAGTCAAGGAGGAAAAAAGATTTAACTTTCTTCATGGTACTTTACACCACAGGTCTTAATAACTTTCAAGGTATGAAATGACAAAAACTTGCCATGTAACTTTCCTTTCTCAAACAAAATATCAAACCATTCCTCAACTACTCTGCCTATCTAGTAGCTAGGTAAGGGGGTCCTGTTCTCCTCTCCCCTATACTCATGGGCACATGCACGCACACACGCGCACACACACACACACACACCCCTGAAGCCTAAACTACTATCACTAAGATCCAGACACAACGCATGCATCTGATGTAGAGACACCTATTTTCATAAGTTCAGTTGCATAAAAGTCAAAGTTTATAAGAACAAAAAGGAAAGATGGAAGAGGACAGTATGGGAAAGGGGGCAGGTCTGTTCTAATTCTTGGCCCTGCTTTGGGGACTTATATCTGAGCCCTACTGGAGAGGAAACGGATGCTGTAGGCAGAAAATGAAGGAGTTCTTTTCACAAGGATCTCTGTGAGCAGAGACACTTTGGTGACCAAGAATGATGCAGAGAGAGAGGCCTTCTCCCACCTGTGTGAACACAGCACAGCTCCGGCCCCACGGGCACAAGGGAGGGCAGTGCTGCTCCAGCAGTCAGCACCCATGTACTCTCAGAGGGGCGGGGGGACCAGCAGGGACAGAGGTGAGACAGCACCAACCAAAGGGGCCACAGCAAGTGAGAAGACCATGGCAGACGCTGCCGTGGCAACTGTGGTGGAAGACAGCCTTGGTGATGAAGACATGTAAGACCCCTCCCTTGGGGCCCCGGAGAAGTGATGGCTGACACTTTGCAGGGGGCCAAGGTCTTAGAAGAGGGGTGGAGGTGAGAGGCAGAGAAACCTATCCTGTGGTTGTTGATGTGAACTCCACTGTTCTCAGAGGCTGGTGACGCCAAGGCAAATTCAGATTACACAGGATTTATTGTATCCTTATTTTGATCATTAATTATTTAAGAAGTAAACTGCTTCAGTCATTGAGCAGAAACTCAATGACTAGTTACAGCTCAAACCAAACGTATTTCATGAGTTAAGTTGATAGACATAGATTTCTACTCTTTGTTTGAAGTAGTAAAAAAATGGAACAATGCATCAAACCTAATAAAGCTATTTATCAAATATCACCAGTGGGTAGCTTGAAATTATATTAGAACAAAGTGTTACTGGGAATTTGCAACTTTGCAAATACATGCTTTCAGTAGATACTAAGCATTTTCTTCTTGAGTAAATCAAATAAAGAGAGATCCCTATAGGTTGAAGGAGAGGTTCTATAAAGTCAGAAATGAGGGATCAGTTCAAATGAATAGCCCCCCTTACATCCAAAGCAATACTTCTACTGAGCCTTTATAATGAAGCATTATCCCAGAGGGAAGAGTGGGAAAACCGGACACTGACCCTCCATCTTTGCATCATTTACAAGGAAAGATTAGGAACAGAATGACTATCAGAAGCTCCCCAAATGTCACATATCAAAATGAAGTGGCTGTCAATGGCAGAAAAATCATTTAGGAATTTAGTATAGGTATTTGTCATCAAACTATCTTTTCATTTACACTATGCTTATTTTACTTGAGGATTTAATTTAAATTCGGGAGAGAGTAAAAAATCAGAGACTAATAAATATCTGATTTTAGAGGTCCAGACTACTTGAGGCCATTCCACATTATAGCAGGAAAAAAAAATACATTGTCCACATTGTCCTCACTTTTTTCATTATTTCCCAACTCTCTGTAACCCTGGGTCTATTTCCTATTTTCCTGGATATCACTCATTAAAATAAATCATCATCACTTCTGAAACAATTCAGTGACAACCAATTGATAAACCAAGCACACATATTGCCTATTGCTACACTGACGATAAAAACAGAACAAAGCAGTGAAGTCCAGCGAAGTAAGTGAGGTGCTTCTTATGAGATGATAACCTCAGTAAGGCACCAACGGGCAAAAATCTACAAGGCAACATTAGTGAATTTCAAAAAGATCGTTTGTTATTCAAAGACGTTCTGGCCACATTTCTCCTATCCATCTTACCCCAGGCTGGCTTATATATATATATTTTTTGCTCTCCTCCAAACACCTAACTCCCATGCAAGATGGAAATGTTCCTGAAGTATACATACAGCTTCTCTTCAAACTAACAGCCTCTATCTGAACACAAAGGCAATGCAGTTCATAAACCTGACAATGGACTAGCACTTCTGAAAAACACACCCTAACCAGAATACTCAGGGACAGCATTCAGCAATTTAATTCAGCAGTTAAATTTTGCCTAAACTGGAAGTGCCAGGGACACGGGGGGGAACTGTCACTTCACCGCTTGTCAGCATTTCCTGCCTGCCTTTGGCCTATCATATGTCACATTTGTGGAGGTGGACAATTTCTCCTTGGTTTTCTGCTCACCAAAATAACCTCTCTTTTTGAGTACCTTATTTCAACTTATTTTTCTGATATTTTGCTAAACGAAAGAAACATATCAACTACAAATGGATTATCACTTCAAAATGTCAATATTTCAGAGTATTTGGGTTGCAACAAAAATTAATGTAGTTATTATTTATCAAATAACAAATAACTTCATTAAAAGGATTCACATAACCTTCACTGCTCTAATGCCTCTCAGATCTCCAAGTTTATCATGTACATTCAAATGACTACAGTGGCAACCATAAAAAGGATGGATTATACATCTATTTTTTTTACGGCCCTTAAAATAAAGTTTAAATGACTAGAAGAATCCGGATTTTTTCATTTCCTTGCTTTCGGTACAGATTCTAAATCAGAAAAGACATTGTTTTCATTAGTTGAAAATGTTATTTTCTAGAAAATACCCCTCCTTTAAATTCATGGAATACAAATTTACAACATTTCAAAACATTTTCACAGATATCACCACAGTGGATCCTCCCAAAAACCTTATGAGGTAGCAAATTCCCAAACCAGAATAGGTCAAGTCAAAGCAGCAGTTTACTCTCCCTCTGAGGCTCCATGTGGATATGTTATATCTTATCATTCTAGCCTCCATTGTTCATATGTCCTTGTTTTCATATTTTTTTAATCTCCTAATCTCTCTGCTGCAAATTTAGTAACTTCTTTAAATCTATCTTCCAGTTCATTAATTCTCTCTTAAGCTGTGTCTTAAATGCTTTACCCCAAACTGTTTTTCATTTTAATAATTACCATTTTTATTTCTAAGAGCTCTAGTTGGTTCCTCCTCAAATCTGCCCGTCATTCTTTTTTTTTTCCCCCTGAGGAAGATTTGCCCTGAGCTAACATCCACTGCCAATCTTCCTCTTTTTGCTTGAGGAAAATCTGCCCTGCACTAACATCTGTGCCAATCTTCCTCTATTTTGTATGAGGGTCACCAACATAGAATGGTCACCAATGAGTGGTATAGGTCTGCATGCAGCAGCAGAACCTAGGCCACGGAAGCAGAGCACGCCGAACTTAACAACCAGGCCATAGGATCAGCCCCTAAAATATCCATGTTTTTAACAGAAAATAAAAAGTGTTGGCAAGGACATGGAGAAACTAGAAACTTTGTGTGCTGTTGGTGGGCATGTAAAATGGTGCAGCTGCTATGGACAACAATAAAAAATTTTTTTTTAAATAGAATTACCATATGACCCAGCGATTCCACTTCAGGGCATATACCCAAAGAACTGAAAGCAGGGTCCTGAAGAGATATTTTACACCCATGTTCATAGCAGCATATAGCCAGAAAGTGGAAGCAACCCAAAACGTCCATAGACAGATGAATGGATAAACAAAATGAGGTATAAACAATGGAATATTATTCAGCCTTAAAAAGGAAGGAAATTCTGACACATACTACAACATGCATGAAGCTTGAAGATACTAGGCTAAATGAAGTCAGTCAAGCACAAAAATGCAAGCACCATACGATTCTGCTTATATGAGCAACCAAGTGTAGTCAAATTTACAGATACAGAAAGTAGAATGGTGCTGCCCAGGGCTGAGGCGAGAGAGGAACGAGAAGTTATTGCTTATTAGGTACAGAGTGTTAGTTTTTCAAGGTGAAAACAGTTCTGGAGATGAATGGTGGTGATGGTTGTACAACGATGTAAATGTACTTAATACCATTGAACTGTACACTTAAAAATGGTTAAGAAGGTAAATTTTCTATTATATGTATTTTACCACAATTAAAAATAATTTTAAAATGTAGGGGGAAAAAAATCAGTAATTCAGAGGACAGAGACCAGGAGGCAGAGGTCTGCGTGCCTGCCACGTGCCCGACTTCTAAGTCCTCTCATCTCTCTTCTCATGGATTGTCCCAGGCAGTACAGAATTAAAAATAGAGAAAGTATTCAATAAAGGAGAATTATCATCATCATCATCATCATCCTCATTAAAGAAACAAAGAAGAAACTTGGTGTCAGAGAGCCTAGGACCAGGTGGTCACGTCTGGCATTTTCTCCATGATTCCAGTCAGAACCCGTGATAACATGCCCTTCTGGCACGTTCCTGGGAAAGTACTAGTCCTTGCTCGCCCTGGAAATAACTAGCCCTGACTTGGACATGTAAACATTTTAACAATAAGCTAATTCCTCCACCTTCATAGGGTACAGGTCTGGGTCTCAAAAGAAGCATTAACTAACACAGTCTCTGAGGACAGTTTTTAACCCAACAAGCACCGCTTTATGAGCAGACAAAAGGTGATGAGAGTCCACCTTGTAAAAGTCACTGAACAGCCAGTGTCCACCACCTGGGCTAACTCTGATCTGGTGACTCAGACTTAGGAAGCTCTGCACCTCTGAGCAAGGCCAGGCTTCCAGGTACACTGAAAAAGACAGCTGCTTTTCATGCCATCAAAGCAGCAGTATTCAAGAATTTCACATTTCAATATAATCAGGTTTTACCCTGGTTGGAGGCAAAGTCTGGTTTTTGGCAATAAAAAAGGCTTTAACAAGTTGCTCTGACGGATTTCACAGAGGCCTTGCTAATGCGTTCTGTCATATCAGTAGAGGCTTGATGGGGAGCTAAAGTAATCCTTTTAGGACAGATAACTAATGTTCTACCCAGACTACCCAGGGTATTTCTTTATGACTGGATTTGTTCTTTGCTAATACCTTACCATTAGTTACTGATGACCTGATCTAAACCCCTAAAAAGTCCAAAACCTCTTTTTAAACTAAAAAAATGGATAGGTGATACTCTCCCATAAAACGCTAACTCTGTGAGGCCTCCACCAGCGGTTCTGCCCCCACCAACTTCTCCAGCCTGGTTTCTTTATCGCTGCCTTTCGCAGGATGCTACAGTGACACTGCACCATTCCTTAAACACCATTCCTTTAAATTCCTTAAAGCCCGTTCTCAAACTCAGTCAAGTACCAGAACCCCCTGAAGAGTCCGTTAAAACACAGCTTACTGGGGCCCACCCGCCCCCAGGGTTTCTGATTCTACAAGTGTGGGAGAAGGCCAAGAATTTGCTTTTCTGATGAGTTCCTGGGCCACGCTGCTCCCGTTCCCACGATCACACTTTGCCATCCCCACACTTCTCCACAGCTACTGCTTTGGAAATGCTGTCATATCCACCCGGAACGCCATCTCCTCAGCAATTCTACTCTCATCCCATCAAAACCCCAACGGGGACCAGGGGCAGCCCCAGCCTCCTCCCTCTCCCCCTGCTCTCAGCTTCTTCCACCCTTGTTCCCAAGGAGGGGTCAAGGGAAGTCTCAGAAAATGCAGAAGGAAGGATGAGGTGGAGAGCGTGCAGGATGACCCAGGTGGTCTTTTTCCTTTTCGCATCCACAGCACCAGAGAGGAGTGTGAGAGCAAAAAGTCTAACTAACTCTCCCTCTCCTCCTTTACAAAAGCAGATGCTGCCCTCAAGGACCCCATTAGAAGGGGCATAGCTGGGCCAAGGCAGGACTTGGTGTTCCTGAGTCCCCTTGACAAATGACCAAATTAATGTCATCTTAATAGCAGTCTACTTTGACTCCCGACATCTGTCTTCCAACAGCCACTCCATGAAACCTTTCCCATCTGTACTTCTGGAGGACATACCTTTTCTATCTTGTGGATAAGCACTTTTCAATTCATCTGCTCCATACCTTACTCCCTTCTCAACTGTACACAGAAAGAACTCATTAAATATTTACTGAATTTAATTGAAACATACTCGCAGGTCAGATAGTGCACACTGTATGTGTACCATTACTAAAGCAAGAGTCAAAGAAATTATCAACAGCATTTCCTATTTGGAGAAGTTGTTTTCAGTAACACAGGTCCCCTAAAAAAGCACGTTAGAACAAAAACAGTCAGCCACGTATCAGAAGAGCTTTCATAAAACCTGAAAATTTCCGAACATTCTATCTACTGTTTCCAGGAGCCTACTATAATACACTGCATTTGGCCCCCTACAAACTTTTAATAGTAAAACTAAAATTAGCTTTGGGAAATAATGCAAAACTTAAATTCATTTTCTTGATAATTTTCTTCCTTAGAAGCATGGCCCCAACTTAGCTTATATTACCAAACAGAAATATGACAGCAATAATACAGAGTGAGCTTTTCTTTAAAGAGAGCAAAAGATGGCAACTCACCTTAGAACTAGCTGCAGCATCACATCTTCACAGTGTAAACCGATGAGAGTTCTAAATAACGCCAAGGACACCACACAGAGCTGGGAGGCAATAAACACACATTCAATTTCAGACATTGGAAGGATAGCTCTACTCCCCACAGGTGGTAAATAAATCAGAATTACAAAATAAAACAGCCTTTTTTAGCAGTTTGGCTAAAAACATGCTGCTGCCAGAAAGAATGTGTATTCAAATTATCAGTTCTCCTATAAGATTTGACTTAAAAGTCTATGCCTGGAATTATGCCATTAATCAGAAGTACCCTCCTACAAAATGCCTCGGCTCATATTTCCAACTTTAAAAGATCCAGATACACATGCCCCCTAGATTCCCCAATAAACACATGTGCATGCCCACGTGAGCACACGCACGCACATGCACACACAAACTCCTACTTAAGTCATTTGTTTTCCTAAGTTATTTTCAAATAGGACATTGGTTATTTATAAGACAGGACTAACAGAAAATTGCATATACTCTGGCCACCTCTCCCTCTAGAGTTCTCAGCCCCAAGCCTCAGCTCTTCTTGACTTGTCTCTTGGCTTTGGGGCAAACATTCTCCTTGGTTCCATTTCCTGTAGTGTGATAATACACTTTTCTCGAAGTTCATTAAAACACAAGAATTCTGTCAATCTCTGATTTCCAAAAAGGAAAGATAAACAGCCAAACAGGGAAAACCCAAAGGTGTATTATAAAATCGTCATGCCTTTTGGGGAGTAAGCTTTAATCATTCTATCAGGCAGGCCACTTAAGTAATTTAGGCCCTCATTTTTGCATAGGAGAGTAAGTGCTAGTCTGTCTTCTAGGCAGGATGGGCTCAAAACCTGGCCACCGAAATCCACAATGTTGTAGAGAAATAGCTGTACTTGGCCTGTCCCAAAACATCTCCTGTGCTCAGGACAGGTCAAACCTTGTAGTTAGCCAGAAGCAACATATTTCATCCCATTCGTTCCACACCTTTGCACATGCTGTTCCTTTGCCAGGAATGCCTTTTCCTGTCTCCTCCACAGGCCAACCCCTACTTATTTTCAAAGAGGTACCTTAGGCATCATCCTCCCTAGGAAATCTTCCTTCTCCTTCTCCCAGTGTTACCACTCAACACACCTCCTTTCCCCAGTCTCAGGGAGGTGTCCTTCCTCTACATTGCCATAGTAACCCCTGCATATCACTGTCTAGGGTGCTCAGCATGGTATATTTGTCTTTTTATTATTGAGTTGTAGTTCTTTATTCTATGTGTGAGCTCCTTATCAGATATGTGATTTGCAAAACTTTCTTCCCATTTTGTGAGTTATCAATTCAATTTCTTTCTTTTTTTTTTTTTTTAAAGATTAGCACCTTAGCTAACATCTATTGCCAATCTTCTTTTTTTGTTTGTTTGTTTCTTCTTCTCCCCAAAGTTCCCCAGTACACAGTTGTATATCCAGTTGGAAGTCCTTCTGGTTGTGCTATGTGGGATGCCACCTCAGCATGGCCTGATGGGCAATGCCATGTCCACACCCAGGATCCGAATAGGCGCAACCCTGGGCCACTGAAGCGGAACGTGTGAACTTAACCACTTGGCCACAGGGCCGGCCCCTCGATTCAATTTTTTAATGGTGTCCTTTGAAGCACAAAAGTTTTCACTTGTTTACAGATTTTCAATTTCTTCTTGAGTCAGTTTCAGAAATTTGTGTCTTTCTAGAATTTGTCCTTCTCATCTAAGTTATGCAATATTTTGGCACACAATTGTTCACAGTATTCTCTTATAACCCTTTTTATTTCTGTAAGGTCAATAGTAATATCCCCTCTTTCATTCCTGATTTTAGTAATTTGAGTCTTCCCACTTTTTTTCCTATCTAAAGGTTTGTCAATTCTGTTAATCTTTTCAAAGAACCAACTTTTGGTTTCATTGATTTTCTCTATTGTTTTTCTATTCTCTAACTTATTAATTTCTGCTCTAATCCTTATTATTTCCTTTTTTCTGCTTGGTTTGAGTTTGCTCTTCTTTTTCCAGTATCTTAAAGTGGAAGGTTCACTTAAGTGAGTTGAGATCTTTCTTCTTTTTTAATGCAGCTGTTTATAGCTATATATTCCCCTCTAAGCAGTGCTATCACTGCATCCCATAAGTTTTGGTATGTTGCGTCTTCATTCTCATTTCCATCAAAGTACATTCTCATTTCCCTTGTGATTTCTTCTTTGACCCACCGCTATCTAGGAGTGCTGTTTAATGTCTATATGTGAATTTTCTTTCTGTCTATAATTTTTAATTTCAATCCATTTTGATCAGAAAACATACTTGATGTGATTTCAATCCTTTTCAATTCATTGAGGCTTGTCTTATGGCTTAGCATAAGGTCTGTCTTGGAGAACATTCCTGTGCACTTGAGGAGAATGTATATTCTGCTGCTGTTGGGTGGAGTGTTCCACAGGCATCTGTTAGGTCTAGTGGTTTATAGTGTTGTTCTAGACAATTTCCTTGCTGACCTTTTACCAAGCTGTTCTAGCCATTATGGAAAGTGAGGTATTGAAATATCCAACAAGTATTGATGAATTTTCTATTACTCCCTTAAATTTTTCACTTCATGTATTTTGGGACTCTGTTCTTAGATGTATATATATTTACAACTGTTATATCTTCCTGATGGGTTGACCCTTTATCACTACAAAAGTCTTTCTTTCTCTCTAGTAACACTTCTTGTTTTAAAGTCTATTTTGTCTATTATTAGTATAGCCACTCCAGCTTTGTTTCGGTTGCTATTTGCATGACATATCTTTTCCCATCCTTTAACTGTCCATCTACTGGTATCTTTGAATCTAAAGTGTATCTCCCTTAGACAGTATAGAGTTGGATCTTTTTTTAATCCAGTCTGACAATCTCTGACTTTTGATTGAATTTTTTAATCTACTTGCCTTTAATATTATTATTAATATAGTTGAATTTATGTCTGCCATTTTACCTTTTTTTCCTGTATGTCTCATGTTTTTTTGTTTCCCTATTTCTCTTTTACTGTCTTCATTTGCATTAAGTGAATATTTTCCCTAGTATAACATTTTAATTCCTTTAATTACTTTTTTCATTATAGTTTTTAAGTTATTTTATTGTGGTTGCTCTAGACTTTACAATATACACCTCATCAGACTCTACTCCGGATTTATACTAAATTAGTTCCAGTGAAATATAGAAATATTATTCCTACATAGCTCTGTTCCCTCTCTCCTCCCCTTTGTGCTATTATTGTTAGACATATTATATCTATATACATTACAAACTCAATAATACACTGTTAAATTATTATTCTTTTGCTTTTAAAACAATAATTGCAACTAAACAGACACAGCCTTTGGGAAGAGGGTTGCAAAGGGTGACACTAGTAGTATAAGTGGATTTTTAAAGTTAATCAGAGCTCCAAACTAAATAATGACTACCTAAATTCACAAGTGCCCAGACTTCCATTCCAAAACATTTGCAGACAGAAATATGCTCTCTAATACCCAGACTTGAGACAGTCTGGTTCCTTGGCTTTACCTGCACTTAAGTTCATATGTTCCCCTACATCCTGCCTCTTCAGAAGCACACTCTGCTAGATCTACAGAAGAAAGTGCCAACCCAGATAAATTGAGAAAAACGTTCCATGAAAGGCATGTAAGTGCCACCTCCCTGACAAAAGGATTTCTGATAGCAAAACACATTATCTAGTTCCAAAATAGAAAGGTAATGACTGCAAGAAAAAAATAGGGAAAAGAGAGAAAAGAGAACATCATAATTTTATCCCAAAAACAAACTCCCCTGAAATCTGTTAGGAGTTATAAATTCCTCTCCTCTGGGCTTTCCTTACCCGAAACGGGGTGTTGATTCGGCTTGTGAGAGTATCAAGGATGTGGACGTTCTCGTGCTGGTGCAACAGGATAAAACGGAGGAAGATCTCAAGTAGTGCTGGTTCAGAGATGCTACGTAGGAAAAGGTCCAGATATGCAGTTGTGGTCATGACCTCCTCCACAGTCACCTAGGACCAACGACAGAGTGAGCACAGGTAAGCATCCTCTCGATGCTGTGATACATGCCTCCCGAGTGGCCTCTGGCCTCACCACAGTGACCCCATCAAGGCAAGAACACGCCTGCCACAAGAACATACTTCAGAGCTTCATCTGAAGCCTATAACCTATTCACATTCCACAATACCTCATGCTGCTTCTGCCCTTTAATTCGGTAAGAAAAAAGCAAAGGCATGAAGAAGCAATTCAAGTGTTCTGACAACACTAATCATCAAATGCAGTTCAAATACCATAAAGATTTTAGTGTGTAATCACAAAGGGGAAAAAAAGATAATGGAAAGTATTTACACTGTCAGTAAAGGATTAATTAGAAAGTTCAGTATAACTTGTTTCATTATTAGTCACTCAACAAATACTTATTGGGACCTGCTACGTACAGGAGCTAGAAACATAAGAACATATTTACTGTCCAGGAAGATGGGTTATATATATGATTTAACAAACAAAATAATAATAAATGACAAATGAGAAGTACAGACACAAAGTGCTGTAGATATTCAGACACATTTCTGGAAAGTTGCGAGTCAAATTTTTATAACTGAATAATATACATAAAGTGCTATTTATAAAGTACTAAAAGAGTTTACTGCTTATAAAGTAACTGTGACTTTTTTTATAACACAAATTAAGATTTTCTATGTGGTGTGATTTTCCCATGCAGTAAAATGTCAATCTTTCAGGGAATAGAAAACTCTGAAGAGTCAAGTTTTTCAAAGAGCTGAGGATTTGATGCTTAACGCATCAAAATTTTAATTTTAAACATTTTGAGTGGGAATATTTTAAGAGCTATATACATTTCTTTGTCTTCCTAAAAGCAGACTATAACATCTCTTGCTGAATAAGGATCATCAATGGCTTTATTGTCTATAGTACAGAAATACTCAAACTGGGATGCATGAAAATCACCAGGGAAACAGCTCAAAATTTCAGATTCTAACACTATACCCTAGAGATCTTAGAAATCTCCCCTGTCATGAGTCTAGTGCACTTGATGCTAAATGAAACAGATGGTGATACTTTTTGAGTGATTACATCATCTCTTTTCCAGTTTTCCATCTTCTTTCTTCTTCTCTTTCAAAGTGTTAACTATCACTTTATCATATGTTAAAGGGTTGTTCTCTCTCTTTTGTTTTTTTTTGGTGAGCAAGACTGGCCCTGAGCTAACATCTGTTGTCAATCTTCCTCTTTTTGCTTGAGGAGGACTGTCCCTGAGCTAACTTCTGTGCCAATCTTCCTCTATTTCATATGTGATATGCCGCCACAGCATGGCTTCATGAGCCAGTATGTAGGTCCACACCTGGGATCCAAACTTGTGAACCCTGGGCTGTCAAAGCAGAGCATATGAACTTAACCACTATACAACCAGGCCAGCCCCCCCGGGCCATATTTTTATAATACAATCATGCATCACTTAAGGACAGGGACACATTCGGAGAAACACATCATTAGACAATTTCGTCGTTGAGTAAACATCATAGCGTGTACTTACACAAACTCACATAGTATAACCTACTATACATCTGGGATATATGGTACTAATTTTATGGGACCACCATCGTATGTAGTCCTGTCGTTGACTGAAATATCATTATTTGGTGCATGACTGTATGTGCATTCCTTTTCCCCTTGCAATTTTCTGCTTTCAAAATCCACAAATCACTTTAGAAACCACATCTCTAAATCTGCTATATAAGCGTAGCTACACCCTATGTGGCTGCATCTATACATAAATGCTTAAATCACTTTTATAAATTTTCTTGGTTCTTAAGTACATTCTGGATAGATAAATCCAGATGGATATTACTGAATCAGTTTTGTCTGTTTTCTTTATTCTAAGCAAGGCATGCCTATACAGTACATTTGAATCCACTCTCTCAGAATCTACTGAGTGGCCTGAGCACTGCATCAGAGTGGAAACACCCTCCTCCCTCCAGCTCAGCACCAATGCTCTGAGCCCTCAAAGATTCAACATACCACTGTGTCAGATGACCAACTTTAAAGGGCTCTCTGTGGCCCAAATACAGCAAAGGGAACAGGTAAGCATCAATCACTTGCCAAATAAATTACCTTGAGAAGAGTGCTTCTCATGGGCAGCCCCTGCTTCTATCCTCGGGTTTTCTGGTGTTCTCTAGTCTCAAGCTCATGGTGCTCTTAATGCTGTCCTGGGACACATGCTGTCTTTTCCTTTATTACTTCAGGGCAATGTAGAGTCTGGCACACAGAAGGTACTTAATAAATGTTTTCTGGATAAACGACAGCCCTCAAGGATCTAGCGATTTACAATTGCCAGAGTTGAGCTTAATTTTTAATTCTTCCCTCTTCTCTGCATGTGTTCTGAAGGCTTCAGGGACTGGGGACATTTTTTATAAAGACCTATGAAATAAGTGACGTCGCCAAATATAGCTAAGGGGGAAACTCAAAACAACACTACACGCATAGTTCCATTAGCTCACACCCATTCCTCGACTGCAATCTCAGGGTCCTCTGGCAAAAACTTAATCCAAAATCATTTAGATAAAAGTCTAATCCCTCACAATCTTGGTCAACAGAAAAAAGTAGCACTAATCATTCCAAAAGGGCCCTGCGTGTAGTTTCTGCAATACCATATTTTCAACTTACCTAGTGAGCACTGTGGAGCTGACGTGTCACGCAGAATCCAGGAGCTGCCTTTGCACACCACAACGCAAAGAATGCAGCATCAGCTTTTCCCCCCTTACGTGACACATGACCTTAATAAGCTCAAAAGCACAGCAATAAACTCTTTAGAATATAAGTCTCAGTCTTTGGGGGCGGACATGAAAGGAGGGCATTAGCATCTATTGTTTACTACTCTTAGGCTGGATAAATGAAAAGATTTAATTTTTTTTTTTTTAGAAATCAAAGCTGTCATTTATAAGCTAAGAGGATTTAAGAAAGTACTCGGAGGGGCAGCATTTACATAACGTGCTATAAATATTAAAAACTCATTTCCATTACGCATCAAGTCACAAACTCTTTATAAATCGAGGTCATACTCGCCTTAAACTAACCCAAAGCAGGAAAATCTGGTTTCCTTCTCTTTCCATCTCTTCCCTCTACCATATTCTCAGAGCCCTGAGAAGACTTTTATCCCAGAAAATCTTTTCTGCCACATTGTCTTCCTTTTAAGAATCTTCTTCTAATTTCCCGCATAGGCAACCTCCTTCACAAGGATGAGACCAGAGGCTAAGCGTGATCACCTGAAAGCTAGCAATGAACCCCCAGGGGAAAGCGACTCTGCCATGCAGAACGTAAAACTGAAGCTTCTGCTAATGCCCCAAAGAGGAAGTATTAACAAAACAGGAGAGCAGCCTCCTCTTCATGGTCCAGTTATGAAGAACCATCAGTTGTTGATGCAAGTAAGACCTTTTGCCTTAGAGATGATCGTCAATATTTATTGACCTTGTTCTATAAAGAATTGCAGAGAGCTACAAATTTACACAGAAATTCTAGTACAGTCATGCACTGCATGACAACTTTTCAGTCAACAACAGACCACATATACAATGTTGGTCCCTGAGATTAGTACCATATAGCCTAGGTGTGTAGTAGGCTATACCATCTAGGTTTGTGTAAGTACACTCTATGATGTTCACACAAAGACGAAATGGTCTAACAACGCATTTCTCAGAACATATCTTTGTTACATGGCACATGACTGTAGTTGAAACAGTAAATGAGGTTTGATCTTACTACCATATAATTCACAATGATAAAGTTTAAGGATTCTAAAGCTTCGGAATGTTATTTCTTACCAAAGGTAGACCACAATGACTGCAATAACGTAAGGAAAACTTTTTACCACAATCAAATAAATTATTATTGACAAGATAAATAACAACTGTGAGCCCAAACAATACATCTGCTTAGACATTCTTATATGCTTACTTTTCAGCCCAAGTTCTAGAATGGAGCCCTCACTCGGGTAGTTCATTTTACTGCTATCAAGTCCAGTTTAGTCTATCCTTTGAAATAAATCTTTTCACCCACTTTCTCCACCCTCCGCCAGCCCTTATCTGAGTCCTCCTTCATGCCAAGCGCCGTTCTCCAATCCCTTAAGCTGGTGTTTTTCAAACTACAGTTTGAAACGCAGAGGTGGACAGTGAAATCAATTTATTGGTTTGCTAACAGTTTAGACCAAATTCAAACAGAAAATACTAGAGTACATTGTCTGCAGTAAGGGTACATGCTGTTTTGTGAAACTTTTGTATACATATACTGTTCAAACTGTATGTAATACAATATGTTGTATATGTATGTGCCTTGTTATATATTCAGTTACATATATATGTCTATGTTCATATATATACACATATATATAATAAATTTCTGGCTGTGGAATGCAGTCAAAAACATCTGAAAAACACTAAAGTAGCACTGCCACAACCAAACCCACTCACAGTCCTTTCTGCCATCCTCTCGCCCACCAGCTCAGTCGAAGTCAGTTCTCTGAACAGGACAGCAAATGAATTTATGGTCAATCTACTCCTTTTTAATCTTGGCCTAAGAGCTCCGACAGTGTATTTTTATTTTTTTATTAAAATCTCAAGCTTCTCAGAAATGGACAAAATAGTTTGTTTCCTTTTAAAAAGGGAGTGAGTGGGAAGGGAGAAGTTGACACCATCTGCCTCATTCCACTTCTGTAAAGTCAAAACTCTATCAAAAATGAAGGCCAGGACCAAGCCCAGCCATCGTGCCCACAAGTGAGCGGCACATTAACTTAATGCACAGCGTAGGAGTGAAATTGAGCACACAGACCCTCTGACCTGTCTGCAATCAGCTCTAGTTGGGCAGTTCTATTTGCATCTAAATGAGCATCAGAATCCTCCCTATAATGGCAGGTCTATATGTGTCCTGAAAAATACATTTCCCACCTGCTAATTGTTTTTTTTTTGTGATCCAGTCACACTGGAACAAACAGATGGGTCCTACC